TTTAAGAAATAGTTACCTATTTCCACAAGCTTCTTTGAGTCTAAGTATAGAGCTCTTGCTCAAACTATTTGAGCTCCAATGGTTGAGTCATTTTATGGAAGATCTTCATAAAACTCTTCATCACCCAATTTTCATTTATTATGATAATTTATTTGCAATAAAAATTGCATCTAATCAAATGTTCCACAAACGCACCAAACATATAGAAATAGACTATCACGTTATTAGATAAAATGTGTAACAAGGTCTTGTGAAATGTCTCCCTATTTGATCTAATATGCAATTTGCTGACATCCTAACCAAATTTGTCCCTATTTATTCCCAATTTGAGAGAGTTCTCATAATAGGCAAAAAAAGGGGCTCTGCAAAATTTCTCCTAAACTGCTTGTGAAAAAAAAAGAAAAACACTTACTGTTCCATTATTTTTTGTTTCTTTATGCTTTAGACTTTATAAGCATTTTTTTTAAACACTCTATCATTAATGAAAATTTCTTTTCTTGTTTTTTTTTTTTCTCTTTACTCTTTGCTTTTCTTCTTCATGCATAAATATGAAGTGCAAATTTCTTGGTGGTCTTAGAAATTCGAAGACAACTCTCCCACCTCATTTTCCATTTCAATTCTTTTTGTAATATCACTCAAAGAAATTTGCTTAGGTGATTAAACAAATCATAAAATTCATGTCATTTATTTTTCAAACTCTTTTATCTATTTTTTACATTTTTTTAATTTCTAAATTACGTTAAAACCATTCAAATATTTGTATATGTGTTGTCTAATTATCACTTATTATATTTTTATTCCTTGCCTCGTTAACCATGGTCGACAAGGCAAAGTACATGTTATTAGTTCATTTGGTAAATTTGAGGACATATTTGATAGTTGCCCTTTTTCCTTATTTCTTAAAAATAGTGGGCTGGGTTGATAATTTTAGTCTTTACGTTCGTTTTGTTTTATCTCACTTAACTTTGTCAACTTAGTGGACTAAGGGTACGGGAATAGACTGATCCACTTACTCGCTTTATATATTAAAATTAAAATTACAAGGATTATAATAAAAAAAATATTAAAATATAAATATACCTTAATATTATAATAAAATTATAAAATTTAATCAATTACATTTAAATTATTGATTATAATTAGTTATTTTAACATAAATGTAGTAATTTTTTAATTTATCTAATAATTAATAAATAAAAAACTTAAAAAGTATTCATAAAATTAAAGGTATATATATATATATATATATTATATAGAAAAATTATTGACGGGTTGACTTAGAAGCTCGTCAACCCCATTATTGTGGGATAGACTGGGATTTACAGTTCATCTTGACTATAACGGACCAACCTATTTTATCCCATTTTTTGCAAACTAAAATTAAACGGACGAAAATAAGGTAGACTAATCTGTTTTGTTATGCATAATTATCATCCTACAAAAGCCTAATAACAAATATAATAAAGGAAAAAAATTATTATAAGTCAAAGTTTAAATTATAGTCACATTACAACAACTTGTTACTTATATAAATATATAATATGTACAAATCAACCACAACAATAAAACATTATGTGATGAGAAAAATACATTCATAAAATACATTAAAATTTTTAATGCATCATCTAATATAAATCTAATATTAACTTATTTGATAATCATTCCATTAGTGATTAGATATTCTACCTTTTCATATTTTTATATTTATTATTTAAATAAAAATATTATTTTAAATTAATTCTCTTAAATGCTTTTTATGATAATAAGATATTATAAATATTTTAAATTATTTTTCTGTGAAAATATATTATAATAATTCTTATTATTATAATTCTTATATCTCCTTTTTACGTAAGTATTAGAATTTGAGTGTTTATGAATATTTTTTTCTATTGGATAAGTAAAGAACGATCGCATATATTCATAATCAAAATTGATGAGATATTTTTTTATTATAATAAAGTTGACTGGATATTTGTTTTTATTATTATTATTTATTATGTTATTTTTTTTAAGAATATTTGACTATTATTATTAAAATAAATGATAATTTATATATATTATTACCTTTAAATTTATTAAGATGATATTTAATAACTGAAATACTCTTATTTCTAAATAAAATAAATATAAAATACTTATCAATCTCATAAATTTATTAGACCAAAACCTATAAATTTCTTGGTGTTTAACTCTTAGTACTGGTCATCTGTGACACTACACTAAATTTGTAACTCTTAATAAATTTTATAGATTACTATTATTTATAAAGTTGTTAAGAAGGTAACATGTTAAAACTATATTTCTTAATTATTTAAAATAATAACGAAATTACTAGGTATTATTGGATTTTTTTAATATCGAATATTATCTCAATTTCATTCTTTAATTAAATCACACCGATAATAGTCTATTACAGGACCAAAACCACTGACACAATCTACATGTACATTTGTAAGTTTTTCTTAACATATGTCATTAACTAATTATCCATATCTACAATCCTATTATTGTTTTCTCTTGTCATGCTAGATGTAACATCTTATACTTACAAATATTTAAATTTAATTAAAATTATACATATTTTACATAAGTTAGAGCGTCTCTAGCGCATGGTACTTGAAAGTTGATCTATGTGATAATGGGAGTTCCTAATGTTAGCAATATTACTTCTACAAACAATGTTGCTTAATAAAAAAAATTGGAAACAAATAAAAAATATTATTTCACAAAAAATATTTTGCCTAAACATTCTCAAATAGCTTAGTAACCAATATCTCAAATCATATTTATTAATAATAAATAAATTTAATAATAAATAAATTTAATAATTCTTTGACGTTACTTGCGAAGAAGAATAAGAAAAATATAAACTTTTTTATTTTTATTTTATTTACAAAATAACATCAATATCTCAAATCATATTTATTAAAAACAAATAAATTAAATTTTTTTAATGTTAATTATGAGGGAAGATAGGAAAAATAGAAACATTTATATTTTAATTTTATTTACAAAATAACATCGATTTTTAATAATGATATATAATTCTTGTTTAGATTTTTTAGAATATATGTAATTAGAAACCATTTATATATTCTTAATCAATAAAATTACCAAAATTGATCATAATCTAATTAAAAAAACCCTACAACTCTACCAATTTTTTTCAACAGACATTACCTAATCACATATTACACTTTACCTTTACAAAAAATATTCCCATTCTAGTTACATATTAAAAAAATTAAAAAACTCATAAATTCTAAAAAGAATTTAAAATAGTAAACCGTAATGCCGTATTACATATTACCACTTTCTAAAATTATTTCAATAATACTCACATTAAAAAAATTAATAAATAAATTCTAAATCCTAATAATATTTTTTAAAAATATAAAATTTATAATCACATATTAAAAAATAATTCACACTGTAGTTAAAAAAGTCAACCATGACATATTTATTTACATAAATAAAATATTAATTACGTAAATCAAAAGGATTTAACACATAAAACAATATAAGAATAGTAATATTTAAATTTGTGTAAAAAAACCCTACATCCTAACAAAAGTTAAGCAAAATATTATAAGGGTAATTATATATAGACACCATTTTTTAACAAAGATCTACTTTATTTTATTAATATTATAATCATTAAATGTTTCAATTAAAATAAAATTAATTAAAAAATATTATTTTATTAATAAAGAAAGTTGTAATTGGGTTGATTGAAAAATAATTCAGTTGTCATTTCCATATTATAACTCTAATATCATATAAAAATAAAAATAGTAGTTTAAATGGACAACAACTGTGACACTCAATACATTATAATATACATTACAATCCATTTGACAAATACCAGAAAAACAACTTTTCAAAATTATGATATTCGCTTATGTGTCTGATATCATCAATTATACTCAAACAATAACTTGATTTATTATTGGAATAATAGATTATCAATACTAATATTTTTTTTATTAAATTATATATATATATATATATATATATATATATATAAAATACGATATCAATTTTTTGATGTACATAATTTGTATGTTATCTTATTCTTATCATAACGCAATAAGAATGCATGACTTATATTTTTGCTAATAATTATAAAATAATATTTATACTAATATAAAAATATGTAATTTTTATCAATTGTTTGTAGTATTTGCAGTTCTTATATTATTTTACTTTTATAATCATAAATTAATTGAAATGGTGAGTCTTTTCTTTTGACTTTATAAACTTATCCAAAATTATCATTACTATTTATACTCAATGCGAATCATGAAGGTGAAAGTTTCGGTGCTTTCAGGTATTTGTTTTTTAATAAATATAAAATATTTTAGACAAATATTTTTTTAATTTGTAAAATAAGTTAATCCAAATATAACGTATAAATATTGAAACAAATATTAGTTAAAATATAATTTGGTATATTTTAAAAATTTATCAGAGATATCAAGAAAAAATAAACCAATAAATTATGTTAGGTTATAAAATTGAATTAAGTATTTTTAAAAATTAAAGTACTAGTTCATCAATTTTAAAAAAGAGAATATATCAATTAAAATTATAATTAAAAAGTATAAATATTAAAATCTAAAATAGATTACTAACGGTAACAAATTATTTATGTCAAATATATATTGAGTTTCATTTAGATTAAGAATTTTTTAGTTCCCAAAATAAATTAATCCTAATTTAAGACACATTATGAAACACTTATTATTGAAGTGTGTATATAAACATTCTAGAAAATGAGTTTATTAGTTAAAATATTATTTACCTTATTTTATAAATTAAGACGAAAGTAGTTTATTTCATACTTTCAAAATTTGGAAGTTATAATATTTAAAAATTTGAAGGATTAGGTTGAGAAAAATAAATCAATTGTATTCCTCTTAACACACGTCATTACCATTATTCTTTGACCTTTTGATCTGGCCGTTTAGTTAGAATCAAACCGGTTCTTACAGGAAATGGACCGACCCGCCGCCATAATCTCCGATCGGGTCAACGTTAACGGAACTGTCACGTACCTATCCCTGCTTGAAGATGGGAGGTTGTGGTGGCCGGAGGGTGGTCAACGGAATTTGATCATTGAAAAAGAGGTTATTGGGTTCGCCGGCGATGGTCCAAACATTAGGCTGAAAACCGTGGTGGAGGATGGAGATAGATGCTGTGGTGGGAACAGAGGAAAAGTGGTCCGAAACGATGTCGTGTTTCGACCCTCGTCTGAGGAATCGCACAGGCTCTGGTGCCACAAGCTTAGAGAATTCATCCATTCCCTGGGTAACTAATTCAAAGCTTTTTTGTTAGGTGTGGTTAATTTTGTGCCGTGGATTATGATTTTGAATGGAACAGGACGCCCCAAGAGGCTCTTTGTTTTTGTTAATCCTTTTGGGGGGAGGAAATCTGCTGCCAATATTTTTCGTGATCAAGTTAAACCTCTTTTTGAAGACGCACAAGTTCATCTCACTGTTCAAGGTTTTGAAATTTTTTTTTCTCTTAGTTTTCTTTCCTTTATTGTTATTATTATTATTTTATTGCAATTATTAAAAAAAGTGTGATTGATTATAACTATATTTGGGTACTATCTTGTGCTCGTGGCTTTGGGTCTACTTACATGCCAAAAGTATTTTAAAAGATATTCTTAATTATGGTACATATAGGTATTTTTTGAGAATTATTGGACCAAACCAAGTACAGTAACTAAAAATAGGCTTAGTCCTATTCTTGTGAGAGGATGTGTTCTTATATTCATTATATGAAAATAATTAAATAAACTTAATCCTAAAAGAGTTTATTTAGTGTAGGTACAAATTTATATATCCTCTTAAGGAAGTGCGATAGATAGATAAAGATTGTGAAAACAAAAGGTGGGATATTGGTGGACATGAATGAGATATATTTGAAGAAGTTGGAGATTTTAAGTTGTTAGTCACTCTATTGATGAACCAAATTTGAAGTTAATTATGTTTAAGATGATACAGAAGAAACTCATGAGATTGAAACTATTAGACTGTGATTTTATTGTTAGATCTTACAAATATATATATATATATATATATATATATATATATATATATATATATATATATTTGTTAAAATTTACATGTTCTATTTTTTTTATTATGAAATATATATTTTTTCATATTGAAAAATTAAACTTTTTTTACATTATAAATAATTTTTATCATTTATAAAATTTAATCATATTTATGTTAATTTTTTTTATAATTGACTATCCTAATTTTTTGGAAATGTTATCTCCCATAATTATTATATTCAGTACCGGTATCAGTACTGGTGTCGTACACGTATACATGCAATATGGATAAAATCTAAAAAATAAAAAAAAGTGTCTGATAATAGAAACCAAATAAATAATTAAATGTTATTAAGTGTACACATTTTTATACTGCGAATAAAAAGAAATTACTCGTTTTTTAGAAGATGTGATTGTAAAAGTCAAATATTTTATTATTGATGCATTCTAATCATACTCAACAACATAATAAAAAATGATAGTACTATCTATCTATACGTTCGAATTATTATTATTTTGTTGTTGTTTATTAGAAACCAAGTATCAGCTCCATGCAAAGCAAGTTGTTCAGTCACTTGATTTGTCCAAATACCACGGGATTATTTGTGTTAGTGGAGATGGGATTTTGGTTGAGGTTAGTTCACTGACATTATTGTTGTTAATTGGTTGCAGTTCGTACTAACTACCGTTATGATTGTGATAATGGCTATGTGAACTAATGATTGGTTTGAGGCTTCTTTGCATCGTTGTGTCTAGGTTTCTCAGTCATTATCTTACTGACGTCAAACATTTTAGTAGGTTGTAAATGGACTGCTACAGAGACAGGACTGGGACACTGCAATAAAGATACCCCTTGGAGTAGTTCCTGCAGGTTTTATTCCTTTTTCTTTGATGAGTTTATCCAATAAATTTTATGTTAATCATCTAATTATCTCTTCCACGATGTCCTTTCGTATAAAATGAATGAAGGTACGGGGAATGGCATGGCAAAGTCTCTTCTCGATTCAGTGGGTGATCCTTGTTCAATAACCAATGCTGTTCTTGCCATTATAAGAGGTCTCCAACTTGTCACAATGTGATGTGACCAGTATGATTTTTTCACTGCGTTGATGTAAGTATTAACTTTGTATTAAATGCTGTCAGGCCATAAGCGATCACTTGATGTGGCCACCATCACACAAGGGGAAACCAGATTTTTCAGTGTGTTGATGCTTGCATGGGGTAATTATAAATTACTGTCACCATATATGGATTTTGAAAACGGGGTGGATGTACAAAAGTATCTGATTGTGGCCTTGATATTTGATGTAACATTTGCTAATTTTATTTCAGGTCTTGTGGCTGATATTGATATAGAGTCTGAAAAGTATAGGTGGATGGGAAGTGCTCGTATAGATTTTTATGTAAGCAACTAAGTACCATAACATGCTTGCTTCTGACTCGTATAGAATTATTATTGCATCTGTTAGCTTCTAATACTACGGTTGATTACATAAATCAAATAGCAATTAATAATCAAACTATCGGCCACCTATAAAGTTCAAAATAAAGTTATTTATGTTTATGTAGAAGTCAAAGTACCAAATGAAAAATTGTCTATTGATTTCTTCACCAGGTATATGTGTAATAGTAGTAGTGACCCACACTTCAGTAACAGTCTAGTTTAGTGACATGTTTTCATTGTTATACAGCGATTATTTTGACTTACAAGGATTGATGTTATTTGTTATTTTCTGTACATTACTGATTGTTGTAGGCTCTAACTCGAATCTTCCATTTGAGGCATTACAATGGATGTCTTTATTTTGTGCCTGCACCTGGATTTGAAGCTTACGGGAAGACAACTAGTCACCCTGGCAGCTCTACTAAACGCATCAATAGTGATCTAATTGATGGGGAACCTGTGAAGTTAAATAGGCTAGGTTATCAGGGACCTGAAATTGACTTGGAGAATCAGAGTTGGAGGGTTTTAAATGGACCATTTATTTCGGTCTGGCTTCACAATGTACCTTGGGGTGCTGAAAACACCAAGGCAGCACCAGATGCAGAGGTTGGTTTCATACATAAGAGTTTGTGTATTCATTACTCTCTCATACTGTTCACCTGATGAGTGATGTCATAGCTAGAACTGATTCGTCTGGCTAACATGGCAGTGTTGGCAACATTATTAGAATATCAGTCCGCGTAGATTAGTATCCGAACTGGTCCCATGGAGGCTAATATACAACTACATGAGAAATGACTATGGCATATTAATTTGCTTCATTTGAATGACTATTAAACATTAATGTTCATTATAAACATACACATAATTAGATCATAGAGACCCCAATTGTTGCCATCATTGACATAAATGCTAGTTGATCCACACCTCAATTTTTTTCCCTCTATCGTGGGACTTGATAGTTGCCTGCAGCCATGAACTTGACAATTCTTTTGTTAATTGAATTTGGTAAATGCAGTTCTCAGATGGTTATCTGGACTTGATCATTGTAAAGAATTGCCCAAAATTATCATTGCTGTCATTGATGTCAGATTTGAATAATGGAGGTCATGTAAAATCGCCACATGTCATGTACCTAAAGGTGTGGTCATCACTGTGCTTCAGGGCAATACCTTTTCTGCTGTGATTTATTTGCACAACAAGATTTGTTACTGTCTATATATTTGCAACAAATTATAGGTGAAAGTTTTGGTCTTGGAACCTGGCACACGCTTGGGGGACCAGGAGAAGGAAGGGATCTTAGATGCAGATGGAGAGGTTCTGGCGAGGGGTAATGGATCGTACCAGTGTGAGCAGAACGCTTTGATGGCCTATGATAAACTTCAAATAACAGTGGATCAAGGTTTAGCTACTCTTTTTACTCCTTTGTAAAAACCTTTATTTTTATTCCGAAAAGGAAAAACAAAATAAAGAATGAATACTCTTTGTTTAAGATTTTTTGGAAAAAAAAATTATGTATACAGCCAACCTTATTTAGCTGTTAGAGAGAAATGTAGGTATCATTGTATGTTCATAATCTGGAGATATGTTCATTGTTGTATAACTTTTGTAATTCATTTTATTTGTTTTTTCTTTTATGTTTAGGTCGATCATCATGGAAATTAATTTATGTGCTAAAAGTTTATGATCTTAATTGAATCAGATTATTTTCATTTGATCTATTTTAAGTTATGATTTACATTTATTTAGGTTTACAGAATATTCATTTTATAAAATAATTATTATTTTTTAAATAAAAATAAAAGTAATATTATTTTATTAAAATATATATATATATATATATATATATATATATATATATATATATAAATTAATTTGATAAACAATTCACTTATTCTAAAAATAAATATCAAGTATTCTAATATCTAATAATTAAGATTAATTATTATTTTAAATTAATAAATTAGTCAAAAATAAATAATGAAAATAAATAATAAATTTTTAATTTTTATTTTAAGATTCAATAAATAAATTCTCTTGTAATTTATATATTAAACTATTATATTTTAAATAAAAATTAATTTTATTAATAAAAATTAAATTTTAAAAAATATTATTTTATTTTTATTTAAATATTTAATTAATTAATTAATTTAATATAAATATGTTAATTTTTTTTAATTTCACGACAAAATTAACCTATTGACCTAATATAAAGTTAGATTAATCTATGACCTATTTAAGTTATGGTTTACGTAGAGCTAGATTAACTCGTAGGTTTATAAGTAGACTCATTTTATAAAATAATAATTTTTTTAAAAATAAAAATAGAAGTAATATTATTTTATTAAAATATATATGTATTATAAATTAATTTGATAAGAAATTCACTTATTCTCAGAGTAAATATTAAAATAAATATTTGATAATCACTTATTCCAATATCTAATGATTAATATTAATTATTATTTTAAATTAATAAATTACTAAAAAAAATAATGATAATGAATAGTAAGTTTTTAATTCTTATTTTGAGATTGAATAAATGTATTTTCTTATAATTTATATATTAAACTATTATATCTTAAGTAAAAACTAATTTTATTAATAAAACTTAAATTTTAAAAATATTTTTTAATTCTTATTTAAATATTTTTTTAATTAATTGATTTGGTATAAATATGTTAATATTTTTTTTAATTTTAATCAAGACAAAATTAACCCATTGACCACAAAATTTTGAACTATTTTAAAATATAGGTTAAGTTGGGCTAAATCGCCCATTTTAACCATTCTATTTAACTATCCTTAAATTGTTTTATATATTTGGTGATCCCTTATTTAATGTTAAGATTAAATTTGAGTTTTTAATAAAGTTGTAATAAATCTTATAATATATTTTATTTTAAAATTTCTCTTTTTTTTAGTTGTTTTTATGATAAAAATAAGTTATTGAGAATAGCGGTGTCAAAATTGATTTACCTATTAAACTAATTGAAAGACAAAATAAAATAAAATAGATTAAGTAAAAAAAATTGTAATTAAATTAGACAAATTTTGCTCCAATCTATTTAGACGTGACTAGTCAATTTATTTTATAAAATAATAATTATTTTTTAAATAAAAATAAAAATAATATTATTCTATTAATATATATATATATATATATATATTATAAATTATTTTGATAAGAGATTTAACCTATTTTAAGAATAAATATCAAAATAAATTTATAATAATAATGATTTTAAGATAAATAGTTAAAATTAATTATAATTTAAAATTAATAAATTACTAACGAATAATAATAACGAAAAAAAGAATTTAATTCTTATTTTGGAATTAAATAAATTAATTCTTTTATAATTTATATATTAAATTATTATATTTAAAATAAAAAATAATTTTATTAATATAATTTAATTTTTTCAAATGTTTTTATTAAATTTTTTTGTAATTAATTATTTAGTATAAATATATTAATGATTTTTTAATTTTTAATTAAATTAAAATTAGTTCGTTAACTTGTTAATTTAAAATATGATTAGACTAAAATAAAAATTATTATCTATTTTAAAATATAAATGTGTATCATAATTGGTTTTTGTTTTAATTAACCGTAGTGAAAAAGAACCAACTCCTTCTATACTTCATAGTATTACTAAAGAGTCATTCATATTATTCCATATGAATATGGAATAAGAACTGAGTTCTTAATTATTATCAGAATCTCACTAAGAACTGGTATTAAATGCCGTTAGAATTTGGTCCAACATATATAGATCCCTAAAATCTTTAAAGGGTGGTAACCAATATTGCTGTGTAAAAAAGTTAGATATTTCCTATATGAGTAAACTTTAATCAGCAATATTCTTCAACTTTTGCTTCTTAAAATTGCTTTATCATCCATAAATTTTTAACACAAGCTTTGCCTATTAAATATAAAATATAAATATATAATCAACAAACAGAGAGAGAAATAAACATCATCACCAATATCAATGAAAAAACTTTGAAGATCAATAACTTTCCTCATCAAACCATTCAAACCTCCTGTCACAATTAGAAAGAGGAAGGAACACGAAAGCCCTTTCCTCAATAGACAAAATCACCTCCTTTGTAAGGTTTTCATTAATGAGAGTACTGCATGCAAACCTTTCTCCAACCGGACAAATGCAGAGGAATGAATATTTATAGAAAATTATATGAAATGTTTATTTTTGTTAAAAATGATATAAAAAATAGGAGTTTATCTTAAGGCTACAAAATTTATTTATAACACAATATCTACTTCTCATTTTATATATTATAATTTAACTATATTTTATTTAATGTGATCACATGTTTGGATCACTTGTTTCAAATTGACTTATCTCATACCAACGCATATATCTTATAGTCATTTATAGAATTAAATCTCAAATTACATATATTCATTGTAATTGATTATAAGTAATAACATTTGGTTGGGCTTAGTCTGAGGACACATATTCATTGAATCTCTAACCCACTATCATTCAACATTCATTTCATTCACCATTGGAGATATTTTGCTTGAACAAATTGTCCATTGCTTAAGCGAAATACTTTTGATATTCAATTCAAATGATTGGGATCTCACTGTTTGAGTGAGAAGATTACTTTGCTTAATTGTTATCATTTTCACTTGAGCAAAGTAGATTTAAAACAAGTATTACTTGAGTATCACTTTGGTCATTTAAACAATTAACATGCATAATCAATTATTTTTTCTTGTTAGTGTTTTACTTGAGCTAAATATAGTCTGACACAATTTTCTCTCTTCTACAAGGATCTTGCTTCATCAACCACATATTAATTTCAATAAATTGTTTCCGTTTAGTCTATCACTTCCATAATTTGACATATTGTTTAAACAAATATCCCTTGAGCAATAAAAGTCAAAATAAAAGGTTCTACTCAATTTCCAACATAATTTAACATCTATACTATGTATACACAATGTTCACATAGAAAAAATTTCATTAAAACACCAAAAACAAAATATGCATTTCTACTCGCATTAAAAATTGAAAAATAAATCATTTTAATAGAATTAAAGAAAAAATAATGTTAAATACACGATACGACACAGCACCAAAATTATCCTTTTGCACACTTTTTTTTTTAAGTAATTTTTTTTATTTGTTAAGGGGAAGATTTTATCTTACATAGAGAATATTAAGTTTTTTTAGTTTTATTATGGTAGATATTTAATAATACAATCAAAATGAATTCAGCCGCCAATGGTTTTCCTTTAAAAAATAGAATGGTGAAGGAGGGGAGAGTGGCTTCTAAGTTCGATCTATTATAGGCTTCATTAATTCTGGCTGAAACTCTGTTAGGTAGGATACGCAATTACATAAACATCCAATTCATATTATGAAAATGGAACCTCTAAATAAATAAACAATACATAATTTAAGCTCAAATTAATCCTCCTAAAAATAAAAAAAGAGAAGAAGCTTTGGAAGGACAGAAAGAACATGACCAAGTCATAAAACCATCGTAAGATTACATTCATTCACCCCAACTTCTAACACGAACCTGGTTTCATTATCAACCATTAGTTACCATAATAGCCTGTGTTATGTCCACCAAGATCACCACCACAAGAACAAAAATTATAACTTCTCTTCTCAAAATTAAACCTTTCGTTGGTGACAATTACTAGCTTTTTGTCAATTGTCACCTCCTAGTTTTTCAATTGTTCACAATCCAGAGGAGGATGAGCTCGGCACATGCTCCTCTAAAATTTTCGTCACAGCGTGCAACATATACCACGTTGGAATAATAGATTATAACAAAAAAAAAAAAGGGTTTAGCAAGTGATCATCGTTGAAGAAAGCCGCAAAAATGAACGACCTATTTTCAAACTCGTTCAAACAATACAGTGACCTGAAAGATCAGGCACAGGTAGATGACCTGGAGGCAGCGAAAGAAAGCGTGAACCTCGACAAGTTCTTCGACGATGTAGAGAACGTGAAAGAGGACATGAGGAGCGTGGAGAAGCTATACAGAAAGCTGCAAGAGGCGAACGAGGAGAGCAAAACGGTTCACAACGCCAAAACAATGAAGGAGCTTCGGGCGCGCATGGATCAGGACGTGGAGCAGGTGCTGAAGCGCGTGAAGGTGATAAAGGGGAAGCTGGAGGCGCTAGAGCGGTCGAACGCGGCGAACCGGAACCTGCCGGGGTGTGGGCCGGGTTCTTCGGCGGACCGGACGAGGACGTCGGTGGTGAGTGGGTTGGGGAAGAAGCTGAAGGACATGATGGACGATTTTCAGGGGCTGAGGATGCGCATGCAGATGGAGTACAAGGAGACGGTGGAGCGGAGGTACTTCACGATCACGGGGGAGAAGGCGGAGGAGGAGACGATCGAGAATTTGATATCGAGTGGGGAGAGCGAGAGCTTTCTGCAGAGGGCGATTCAGGAGCAGGGGAGGGGTCAGATAATGGACACGATTTCCGAGATTCAGGAGCGGCATGACGCAGTGAAGGAGATTGAGAGGAACTTGTTGGAGCTTCACCAGGTGTTTTTGGACATGGCGGCGCTCGTGGAGTCGCAGGGGCAGCAGCTCAACAACATCGAGAGCCACGTGGCGTATGCCAGTTCGTTTGTGCGACGGGGCACCGAGCAACTTCAGGAGGCCCGAGAACACCAGAAGAGTTCCAGGAAGTGGACGTGTTATGCCATCATTCTTGGCGCTGTGCTTGTTGTTGTGCTTCTCTTCCCTCTCTTGACTTCGCTTTTGCCTTATTTGTTGCGGAAGTGAAGAAGAAAGGATAGGATTTTATGTGATGTGATAAATCGTGAGCTACTACCTGAATCATAGGATCCATAGAACAGAAGAAGGTTATTGGCAATTTTTGGATTCTCGTAGATTAGGAAGAGAACAATGGGAAATAGGAACGTGGTATATATTGTTGTAACATAATGTAAATTACAGGTTGACACATTTTCGGAACGGATATATGCTTTCTTTGAATTGACTTTCTTCTGTTCTTTCAATGTTCCTACCATTGGTTCAATGTTTTAAGCTAAATTACACTTTTCTTTTCATTGGGGGTGGAACTGAGTGTGTTGTATCCAGAAGAGTACAGTACAGTCTCATTGCAGGGAAAACAAGGGGAGAGAAAACTGAGTGAAGGGTTTAACAGAGAGATGATGCTGAACTCACTCAAGGGTTTGATTGAACAAAAGGGAGGGGATCTTGCAATCTGCAAAATTTTAACACCTTGGAAACCAAGTTTGTGGAGAGTTGTATAAAAAAATGATATCAAATTTTGTTGCATGATCATGAAATCATGGAGTTTTTATAAAGAAGGATGATAACTTCACATTTCTTGCAACCATTCAACGATCCAAAACATTAAATAATAACGAATTTTAATATTATATTGATATAATCAGTTATATATTAGTGTATGGGTTGTCACAAGATTTTTTTTCCCATGATTTCATTGATTGAGAACAAACAAATGCACTTAATTAGTTCTCATTAAAATTAATTATTATTAATCGTCTTACTTTCTTCTTTCTTCTTAAAACATGTCACCTATCTCACTAATGTGTCTCATTATGTTTAATTAATTAAAAATTAACATATAAATAAAACAATATATCAGTTATCACTAAAAAAAAAAAAAAAGCCTATTATCATATAAATTGTACATTACCTACGGAATTCTATTTACGGATATTATCCGTAGGTAATTCCATAGGTAATTACATCCATTACTCACGGAATTACTATTCGTAGCAAGAATCGAACCCAATACCTTAAAGTTGAAAACTAATACTCCAACTACTAAACTATTAGGATTTTCTAATAATAATTTACAAATTATTCGTGTAAATATATAAATATAAATATATAAATATAAATATATAAATATAAATATATAAATATAACTATATAAATATAAATATATAAATATAAATATATAAATATATAAATACATAAATATATAAATACATAAATACATAAATATATAAATACATAAATATATAAATATATAAATATAAATTATGACGAAAAATATGATGAAAATTTATAAATATAAATATAAATATAAATATAAATATAAATATAAATACATGATCAAGGGTGGAAATGCTAGATCAAACATTATGCTAAATATAAATTATGACGAAAAATATGACGAGAATCAGTAGGTAATGCACTCGCTGGAATTACCTACGAATTATAATCCGTAGGTAAATTACCTACGGAAAAAGATCTGTAGGTAATTATCTACGACCAAATTACATATGGATTTTCTACGGAAAGAAATTCGTAGGTAAAGTGACATTACCTACGGATTTTACCCGTAGATAATAAGCGTTTTTTTTGTAGTGTATATATTATTGTTTAAGCACAATATGTTTCATTGTGAAAGATGATACTTATAAGAGTCCTTATAAGACATGGTTAAAAATTGTTTTTGTTTGAGGAAAAAGTATTCATACTTATAAGAAATCTCGCTCATGGGCAGACCTAATCTTTAATCTTTGTTCTTTAAAATTATTCTTTTCTTTACTATAATAATCTAAAACTCATTAATGGGTTTATTTAGACTTAACATGTTGTAATACCATTATATGTGTTCCTTTAATTCGTTGCAATATCATCATTAACTGAATTGTTAAGCCTTAGTATGTTGCAACATGATAACATCAACCCACTGACAACCATCTCCAACTTGTTAGCGAACTTGGGAGGTTAGAACAACAAGAGAGAAGAGTATCCAGAGGTACACTAAAAGTAAATTGTATTTACAATCCTACAACTGTTGATAAATAATGTAGAGACACACTATTTATAATAAAAATTAAAACTAGTTAAATTAATCAATCTAACTAAAATAATTATTATATTATAATTGATAAATTATCATCTAACACATTTCTTAATTTAGCTATCGATTTTACATTCAATATTTTTCTTAACTCTTCAAATTTTTTATTATTCAAAATTTTCGTCATAATGTTTGATCTAGCATTTCCACCCTTGATCAATATAATTTTGATATATTTGTCTTTGATTCCATGTTTTATTTTTTTCGTGCCAACAACTCCTCTTTTATGGTTTCGATCTACTTGGGATCTTCGATTGTATTTTCAAAAGAAACTAGTTTAGTCTCAATAAATGTACAATATCATTATCATCCTCTGTTTCTCTAATCATATGTCCAGTTGTTGTAACAGTATTATCAGAATTGATCACGTAATCATCGAATTTTATTGTTGTTTTAATCAATCTTGTAGGTCAATTTCTCCTTCCTTCAATTCCTGAAATCGATCAATTTATCCTTCTTTGATTTCTGATATCAATTGACTTCTACCTTCAATCTCAAATCTCGATTGATTCCTACTCTCCTTCGATTGTTGATGTCGATTGATTTTCACAACCTTCGATTTCAGAAATCAATCGATCATTACCTTCAATTTCTGCATTATTTGAGTTATCAAAGCTAACACTTTTATTTTTCACCATCGAACACAATTTTCAACAATCTTTCTCATCAACAACAACATCACTACTGAGGATAATCTTCTTCTTGATAGGATCATATAACTATACACATCAATTGAATGATATCCTACCAAAATTTAACTTCTGCTTCTGGCATTGAGCTTCTTTCCTTCTTTCATAGGGAACATGTCTCCAAGAAATTGAGTCAAATATTCTTAAGTGTTTTATATTTGGCTTTCTTTCATACCATACTTCCTGTGGTGTTTTCTCCTTCACTCTCTTCGTTGGATATCGATTCAAGATGTATATAGTTGTTGATATTGTTTATCCCCAAAATGAATGTAGTATGTCTTTGGTCTTCAACATATTTCTATCCATGTTCAAAATCATTTCATTTCTTTTTTCTGCATCTCCATTGTGTTGTGGTATGTATAGGGATGCAATCTCATGCATAATATTTTTCTCCTTGGAGAATGATGCAAACCCACCATTGTTGTACTCATCACCACCATTTGATCTCAACACTTTGATAGTTCTACAACTCTATTTCTCGATAATCGATTTAAAATCGACGAAGCGACTAAACACCTTCAACTTCTTCTCAAGCAAGTACACTCACATCTTCTTACTACAATCATCGATGAAAGTCACAAAGTACTTGTTTCCACCTAGTGAAAAAACATCAAAGAGTCCATAAACATCGATGTAGATAACTTCAAACGCATCCTTGCTTCTAGTCTCGATGCGCACCTTAAAGAGATTTCTGACTTATTTCCCTATTATGCAACCTTCACATATGTCTTTACATTTTTGGACTTGAGGCAGTCTAACCATCATCTCCTTCTCTGTAAGTTGACTCAACTTATCGAAGCCAAGATGACCATACCTCAAATGCCACAATCAATTGACATTAGAGACTGCTGCTGTAAAACCAAGTTATTCAATATTGAAATATCGACTTGAAAAATTGTGTTCTTATTTAGAAGTGTCTTCAAAATCGGTGTCTCATTCTTATTGAAGATTCTTAACATTTGTTATCTATCTCCAATAAATCAAATGTCCTTTTTGAAGAAGTTGGTCAATACTCAACAAATTGTGTTTAATGGCTAGAACATAGAGCATATTCTAAATTATTGTAAATTTATCATCTCTCCTTTTGATCATGATTCTACTTTTTCCTTCACTGCTCATTATCGAATTATCTACAAATTTCACCTTTAATTTTACATTTTCATCCAGATCGATGAACTAACTATTCTGAAACGATATGTGATTCGAATAACCAGTATCCAAGTACCAAAATTCATCGAAAGTCTCCACTGATTTCGTTGTGATCACAATTAACAACACTTCATCCTCCAAGTCTTCTTTCTGTGCAACATTTGTTTCTTCTTCTTTACTCCAACCGTCAACAACATAATGATCATACTTATGATAGTTGTAAACTGTACATTCTTCTTACCAGCATCAGAACCAAATCGACCATCTCTTTATTGTGAGTTTCTACTATGTCATCTTTCGATTATGAAAAACTCACCTGTTGTCCTTTTGAGCCTCGTTTATCATTGTTACATCTTTCTCTTCATCGACCTCTCTTGTTCGATTTTCCAATAAAGTCTATTCTCTATTGGACCTCTCTTCTACCTTCTCATGTAACCGTTATACGTGAGCTTCTAATAACCCCTGTAGTTCATCAAGTTTCAATAAATTGAGGTTATTGGACTATTCGATAGCTATAGAAATTATATTAAATCTGACATCAAAGGTTCTCAATACCTTCTCCACCACTGCTCATTCTTTCAAACTTTCACTACATGACTTCATCAAGTTTGTGATCGACAACAATCTTACAAAGTACTCTTAGATGGTTTCTTGCATCTTGGTCTATAATCGCTTATACTAACGACGCAATGTTTGAAATTGCACTAATTTCAACCTCTCTACACTTGTGTAATTGTGCACCAATGTATCCTAGGCTTTTATTCATCGAGTTTGCCAATGATATCATCTCAAAATTGTTTTCATTGACACACTAATGAATATAGAACATAGCTTTGTAATTACGTTTCTTCGCTTCTTGAAATGTCACATGTTGTGCCTCTGTAGGGTTCTCGGATAGCCCCTCATATTCATTCAGAACTACGTCCAAGACTTTTTGAAAACAAAAAACAACATTCATCTTCACACACCAACTGTCGTACCCATTCAAGTTCCTTCTATCGAGCATTGACATGTTGTCATACAACCTAGTTCATGTCATCGTCATTATTCTTCCTCTTTCTCTCTGGATATTGAAACCCTTAATACCACGACGAAAAGGATTTATTAGAACAATAATAGTGAGAGAAGAGTATTGAGAGAAACACTAAAATTAAATTGTATTGACAAATATTGTACAAACACAATATTTATAATATACATTAAAGTTAATTAGACTAATCAATCTAATTAAAATAATCATTATATCATAATTATTAAATATCATATATAACAACTCATACATGATTAATATATTGCAAAAATATAAATTTTCTTTTAACGAAATTTCTAATGAAACAAATTTTACACAAGTTTATTTGTGAACTATTAAAAAAAAAGAGTCTATTATCAAAATTTGATAAGATCCGTTAATGATATCAGTTGATTTGAACAAATTTTGTTATTAAAATTAAGTGGAATTCTATTGAATATTGAAAAACAATTATATATAAAAATATTCTAATACTTAAATTAATGTGAGAAAAGTATGATTCTATTTATTATTTTTTTATTATAATTTTAAATAATAAATTATATTTATTTAATGTTAATAATATTATATATAATTTAATAATTATATATATATATATATATATATATATATATATATCAATTATGCATTATATACGTATATATTTGAATATATTAATTACATATAATAAATAAAAAATTCTGACAAGTACTGATCACAGTCAATTTATAATAATAAAAAGTTGATAATTAGTTTAATTCTTAATATAAAAATCTCTCTATCAAGATTTTTATTATTTCAATTTGTAAATTATATTTTTAATATTACTGTACTAATTTGATTTTTTTAATTTAGAGTTACACTAATTTCTTAAAACATTAAGATTCATTTAAAAGAGAAACTTATTTTAATATATGTTGTTTGATAAACATAAAGATTGAAATTAAGTCTCTTATGACTTGCATAAATGACATTATCTTACCATGCTGTATTAATTTGATGTCTGATATGATGACTTCAAATATTAACCAGTTCTATTGTCAGGCTCCCTTAAAGGATAAAAGTGAACGACAATATTTTACACAGTAGAAACAAAGTTAGAATTGTGTATTATATAGTTTTTTTTACTAACTTTTAAAAATAGTTTCCACTTCTTTAATTTAAAAAAGAAAACAATTTTTTTATAATTATTTTGTAAGAACAATTTTTAAAAATTATTTTAATTTTTTAATTTAAAAATGAAATTTTTTAATATTTTTTTATTAACTATATTTACGCCTTTACCAATAATTACACAACATTATCTACCTTCATTATTAAAAATATCAGAATATTATTTTTAAAATTATAATAACTTGATATCACTCTTCGTTTAAAACAGATTTTAAATCTATCTATTAAACCAAATCTTTTTTTCAAAATTACAGTCTATAATTGATTAAAAACTAAAAAAAAATCTTACTATTTCCAATTTGAAATAGTAAAATTAAAACTCTTATCTAATAATATAATAATAAACACAAATAAACATAAAACAAATTCATTATCATCATATTAATAAAGATAATTGTTTTAAAACAGCTCCTAATTCCTAAATGATTATTTCTAAATAATGGACAATTTCAACTCTCGTGATGCCAACTCTCATACAAACAAACAAGTAACCGAGTTAAATATCATCGGGCAAACTGCATTCTAACCATAACCATTAATTAAATGGTATACCAAATCTTTTTGACTTGCAATTTAACAAACAAATAATTATAGGTAAATGTCGTTTTCCTTATGATATTATATATGCAAAGTGTCACGCCTTTATCTTGAATCTTCTGAAAACCAGAAGATCAAAACTTTGTGATATGGAGTACATAACATTTTACATTTAAGTCTCATTCGGAGATGCAGTGGATAATGGCTGTTGACTGTAGTTTATGACAGTATCATTTTTACACAACTGCCCTGCGCATCATCTGTACCAGTGTGTCAACCACAACGTATTGTCTTGGAAATCTATTACTAATGTATTCTTCAACTCGATTACAAATTCAAATAACCGATGATAAATGAGAAGACAAGCAGATATGATGCTATACTTGTCAATCCATTAAGATGATCAAAGCAGCACCAAATCATGCCAATAACAGATTTCCAAACAATCCATTTGACTACAGAGATCATGGCTTAGAACCCTAATGCCTACAATAAAATAGTGCTCGAGGCTAATGGTTTTTCAGTAACTTTGTGCGCCTTTGGAGTCTACCCTCTCATGTAGTGTCTCACATTGTGTGTTTGATAAGAAAGAAAAAATAAATGATTCAGCAAACACAAATATGAGAGAAGGAAATAACATAACATGGCAAACAAATAGAAGAGACATAGGAAAAAGAATAAAAACCTCAGGAACAATGGACTATATGCACAATTTCTAGTGGTTTCTCGCCATAAAACAAGTGATATGCACCTTCCAAGCTGCACTCCTCTACATATTAGAGGAGAAATAAAAAGATATAGCCACATATTTCCACGCATCCAAACATCCTTTCTCATTTTCACCTATTTCTTCCCCCTCTTCCTTATTTCATAACATTCTACTCGGTAATTGCAGAACTACGAGTTAGAAGATTCTGATGATATGCATAGATCATGTACATCATAAGCTATTAATCATGTCAATGATTTGAAGATGTATTCTCTGTATTGGATAGATTAGGGTAGTTCTGAAACACATTTATTGGTACAAAGATAAAGAGCTGTAAACTCGAACTAAACCAATCAACTGCAAGTAAGAAAAAACTAAAAGCTGAAAACTAACACAGAATACAAAAAAAAAAAAAAAACTTCAATGATCAGCACAAAGCCAGCCATAATTAGTAAATATCCAAGGATAATGTATAAGCTGTAACCAAATAGAAAATTTCATTCCTCCAATCAACAAGATTAATAACCAAAGAAAATACAGAACAAGAGAAGGAAATTCTGATTTAATGTACAATAACTGACCACTCAATCATGTACCAGCATTGGGTAAGGCTGCCATAAATGAATTGTAAGAAGACTCAAGATCAAAGTGAAGCTGCCGCGCCTGTTGTTCTGTCAGCTCATCAGCTGCACCCATCTTGGATAACCTACCAATCCATTCCTTCATTTTGGTTTTACCCTCAAAATCAGGCGGCAGGATTGTCAACTTATTGAGTGATGCATATAGGTCCGAGAGCAATGGATGCACCTGATCTACAGCCACCATGTTAAGTTTCAAGGAATCCATTGATGTAATAAAATTCTGCACACACTCAGCCACAGCAGCAGCTGAGGTGGAAGCAGAGGCAGCTGCAGTGGCGCGATGCTCTACGGTAGCAGGCACACCAGACACTACAAGGCGGTTAAGTGCAGCCGGGCACTCCATCTTGTAAGTGTCTGCAAATCGCTCAATGCTAGGCACGGTGTCTTTAAGGGTGGAAGCTAAGGTTTTGAAATGAGCAATGAGCTTCTGGCACTCTAACTCATATTCTTGAGGTGAGATTATATCTCTAATATAGGCTTTCTCAAGCCTCTCAGTGGCCTTGATGATGGCAAAAAGCTCAGCAAAGTTGTCATACATTTCTCTCTCGCGCTTGTCATTCCAGAGCTTAACCTCCATGGTACTCATGAGTATATGAATACACTATATTCAGATCAATCACACAGTGGGGATGGAGGAAAATTGGAGAAGAGAACGGGACACGCGCAAAGAGAAGGGTCCTTCTTGCTGAAAAGAAAAACCCACAAAACCCAAAACATAGCATGTTAACAACTGCTAAGATCACAACACAGCAAAGGGGATCTAACAATAAACACCATTATTTCATTACACCAAACATCAAAATGCAAACAAAAGAGGGACTAAAATACTTGCGGACCCAGCACAAGAAAAATTATAAAAATCTCAACTTTCTCTCAAATAAACAAGAACTAATCCAAGAAAGAGAATTAATCTCAACTTTCTTTCCAATAAACACTCTGGGTATCAGAAAAAATTCTCCTCAAATTGAAAAGTCAAGGTAAAAACGCGGTTTTAAAGATAACGATAACAAAAACAATGGAAGCTAAAGGTTTCTGAAATCTCCGTAAAATTTCCCAGGAACCAAACAACAGGAGACAACAAGGGAGCCTAAACATTGACGAGAAGAAACAAATCAGCAGATAGGCATGAAAAAGGCATGTGAAATTCAGCCTGAAATCAGACGAAACCCGAGATTGAAAGAAATTGCAAAGGCGAAAAGCAATAATCAAGCAAAATAGAGAAAAGAAGAAGAGAAAGAAAGGGCAAGAGAGAGAGAAGGGCTTACAAGAAGCAGAAGGCGCTATCGAATGGTTGGGAGAGAGGTTCGTTCCTTCCTTATGATTAAGAAGGGAATGGATTGCATGAAATAAATCGGGTGCGGTACGGTCCACGGGGAAAGAGAAAGGGGTTGCGTGTGGAGTCCCACATATTATTATTGCTGCACGCCACGGCTTACGGCATCGACGTGTTGCAGTTGAAAACCAAATAACTACTAATCAGAAACGCAATGCTCAAATCTCAATGCATTTCGCCCACTATTTCCTCTCCTTCTACTCCCTTTCAAACACGTTATCCAACATCCCCATGAAATCACACCAATTTTCTCTTCACAATGTCATCATCTTTCAACCTAACTATTTCGCATAAATTATTATTTTTTAACATACTATACTTTTCATTTTTATTCTCCTAATTAAAAAGAGTACATTTTTATAAATAAAAAAAATGTAGAGTACAAAATTCAGAAGTAAAACCATCTATGTGACCATAAAATAAATTTTAAATAAAAAATGCTAGAACCGAGTCCATTATAATGCCATAATGGTACAACACTTATAATATCAATTAGCATATAAAATTTTGTAATTAAAATTATTTTGTTAAATAATATTATGACGGTGTTTCTATTTATTATTGATAAAAAAAATTAAATTAAATTTAAAAAAGACTTGAAATATGTTTAAATTTTAAAAGGGAAATTTTGAAATCGTATTTGATATCTTAAGATTTTATACAATATAAAACACAATTTATTTTTTTAAAAATTTATAATAAATTAAGTTATGAATTTATTTTAATATTTTATGTATAATCTTCCAGTTTATATTTTTATACAAAATTTATTTTGATAGAATTTGTCATCAAAATAAATATTTAATTTTAATATTATTAATAAATATTTTTTTAATAAAATAACAATGTTAATAAGATATGAATCTCGAACCAATCTTCATGAATTAAGATATTAAATCTAAAATCTAAAAATATTAAATTATAATTTTTTTTCAGGTGTAAGATATTTAATTTTCTTATTTTTTTAATGTAACACATATACTATTTCAAGAAATACGTATTTGGGACCTCTTAAGAAAAAAAAATCTGGGACCTCTTAACAAAAATAAATCTTAGAAGGCCCTCAAATAATTCGATGACTACATGATTATGATTAAGATTAATATTATTGTGCATTATTGCTTAGTGACAAGCCACTATCAACTTCGTCTATTTGGATTTGTAGGTTTATAGTGTCTTTTTGGCAGCAGTGGTAGGTTATAATCAAGACAATAAACTCAGCAGTGTGAGCTAAATTTGTGTATTCACTATAGTAATTTTTAATAGAATAAGCTAAATAATAACAAAAATCAAATTACATTTTCTTGTTTCGTGGTTTTGATTGTATACATAAAATTTTTCATGTAATGTAAATAAATCATATAACAAATCCTTGTATCCAATTCCTTATTTTTCCTTTTTCTTTTTCATGTCTTGATTATTTATTTCAAGCATAAAATTTATAAAGCTACTTTTATATTTTCATTAATTTAATTTTAAATATTTGTAAAATACATATTTCCACAATAATACAAGGACATTATATAATAAAAATATAAAATATAAATTTATTATATTACATTATATTCGAACATTTTATAGTTAATTTTGTTCTAATAGAATTTATCTAAAAAATCTTTAAAGATTTTTTTATTTCCTCGTTTACATTTTTTTATTCATAATTTTAAATTGTTTAATTAAACAATTAGCAAAAATTTCCAAATAACTTGTTAAAATATGTAGGATTTAATTATTTTAATTCAATAAACAATTTTTATTGGGGATGTTTGAAATAAAATTCATCAATTATAAGTTTTTCCCAAGTTAATGCATGCATCAAATACTTGTGACAATACTTTTTTTATTATTATTGTATTAAATGTTATAATAATATTTTGAAATTATATTTTAAAATTTAAGCCTATTAACTGTTTACAAGTTTTTAACAATACCATATATTATTAATTTGTTACAAAATAATTTTTAGAGATTCATGAATAAGAAATAAATAAATGCTAACTAATTATCAATTAAAGAATCATAGGTTATAACTAATACTATTCTTATAATAACACGTATACCGTGCTAGTTATTTTAACAGTAAATTAGTCATTTTATATGAAAATTTGACACTAATATCATTTTAAGAAAGGTGTTAATTTGTATATTTTAGAAAAAAAAAATCTAAAGCAATAATGTCAAATTTTTATTTTATTTTAAAAAAAAGATGTTTAGAAAATTCATTTTTCAAAATATTTATTACTTATTTTTTGTAACATTTTTTAGAAGATTGAAAATGAAAATCTAACATTTTATTAATTGGGAGAAAAGGTTTACTGTTGCAAAAATGTCAAATTACCTTCTTTTTTTTTTAGAAATGTCATGTTATCTTTATTAGTTCACTTAATATATATAATTACATAAATTTTGAAATAATTTCTTTGATTTTCAAAAAACATATACAAACATTTTGAAGAATATTTATAGTGAATTAAGCTGATTTTAATAATTTGAAGGAATAAAATCTCTAAAATTTATAATATTTTCGGAATATGTAAAAAAAAAAAAGACAATCAGAATTGTGGTGACGCACCCTTTGCCCTGCCTTTCGATAAATGACAATTTAGGAAGTTACTTTTGAGTTGGGGTTTGGGATTTTGGGTATTTGCTTACTATTTAGGAATCTTAGGCTTAGAACCAAACTCATATTCATGTCATGACACAAATACTTTCATCCTGTTATTAGCACAAGCTATTGGTTGTATAACATCAAGATGATGCAAATGGGTGATGAGAAAGTGAGAGGGTTGTTTCTTCTGTTGCTGATGCCACTGCCAACTGTTCTGGGTTGGGGAAAGGAGGGCCACTATGTCACTTGTAAGATTGCACAGGTAAAGCAACAATACTACACTATTCTTTGCCTTTACATCTCTTTCAGTTTCTTCATCAATGTCTCAATTATTCATAAATCGGTTTCAATATATAATAAATGATAATAGATGGAGCAGTGTAGTGTAGAACATGGTGTGAAAACAAAAAACTATTGAGTATAGATGAAGGATCAGTTAGAAGCTTAGTTGGTTTGGGGTTGTACTATGTGCTTATCCAGAGACGGCAGTCTTTGTAAAATATTCTTGGGTGTTTGAATTGTAGGAGTATCTTAGTGAAGATGCTCTATTTGCTGTTAAACAATTGCTTCCAGATTCTGCTGAAGGTGATCTAGCTGCAGTTTGCTCTTGGGCTGATGAGATTAGATTTAATTACCACTATCGTTGGAGTAGTGCTTTACATTATGTTGACACGCCGGATTTCAAGTGTAACTACGAATACTGCAGTGAGTTTGTTTGGCTCTTTGGTACATTGGTTTTGATGGAATTGTCGTTAAGTGTAGGTTCTCTTTGGATAAATGATCGCTAAATACTTATAGGAGAAGAAAATAAGAAGGTTAAATGAATTAAACTACTTCCATCAGTTAAACTGTCAGCTTTTAGAAAAGTTAAACCAGAGAACTCTAATTAAAGTTGAAGTGGATAAGTTAACTTTTACATTGTAGGAAAAACTTAAATTCATTTTAATTTCTTATTTACTTTCTCCTATTAGTATTTCCTGAGAAGTTTATCCAAACTAGACTTTAGACTGTTCAATGGCCATACACTTTTCAAATTACTATGAAGTGACTCTCATCTTGTAGGAGACTGCCATGATTCTTCCAAGCAGAAACATAGGTGTGTTACTGGAGGAATATACAACTATACCATGCAACTTAAATCAGCTGATGCAGGCACTTCATCTGAATTAAACTGTATGTCTATGCATTCAGAGTGTATTCTGAATTTGCTTGTTACATACGAAGATAGGTCCTTTAATTTTCTGTTATGATTCTGCCTTTATCAATTACAGATAATTTGACTGAGGCTCTTCTGTTCTTATCACATTTTGTTGGGGATGTTCACCAGGTATGTTCTTCTTGGTTTCTTTTTAAAATATTATAAAAAATTCAATTTATTCTTGGTTGACAAAGTAACTATAGCTCTGTTGTCCTTGGTTTTCGTAAGTGTTAAATCAGAGTTTGAGTATGGGTTGTTAAGTTGGGAAATGACAACTTGAAACTCTAAAACGAGCATTGATTGGAACGAGTCATGATATTATTTCCAATGTATTTGTGAAAATTACAATCATATGGTTAAATATGTCTTTTGTTCTTCTCCAAGCTTGTGCTTGAAAGGATTTGTTTTTCATTTTGATTTTCTAGTGCAGCCCCTACATGTTGGTTTCATTGGAGACCTAGGTGGAAATTCAATAACAGTTCGTTGGTACAGAAGGAAAACAAATCTCCATCATGTAAGTGTCTAGAATCAGATTCTATGCTAGTTGATGACTCGACACTGGCTTATTGTCTTCTGTGAGTTAATTGTATTAGGTAACTGAAACTTTGTTTTTCATTTTTTCCTTTTCATAATGTATTTTAACAAAGATTCATAGTTTTCAGAGAGAATTTATACTTGTAATGGAACTCTATATTATTTTTCTAGTTCATATCTTGTTGCTTTCTTGATTGTGTTTGGGAGAAACAGGTTATATGGACAAGGAAAAGATTTAGGATCCCAATCCATTTTTAAGGAAAAAGATGGGTTTTAATTCTATTTATGCTTTGCAGTTTTCACTGATACCTACACTTAGCATTTGATGTGAAATTTAAGGAAAACTTATTGTACTCTCACATCCTGTAGGTGAAAGATGCACCCACTTTTGCAAGTGATTCTTAATTTCTTTGTCACTAAGATCTTCTACATAACCTTTTGGTTTGATCTGTTGGTCATCATGCTCATCCAATCTGTCCTTGTCAATAATGTAGTAAGTTGACTAAATTCTGTGATTTTGGTTTTGGTCCAGGTGTGGGATGACATGATTATTCAGTCTGCTCTAAAAACATTCTATGATTCAGATCTTTCTATTATGATAAAAGCTATTCAAAGGAATATTTCAGTGAGTTTTACTTTCCTAATTCTTTTAATGTATTTATGCAAATGATGAAGATACCCAGCATAGATAAACTGAAATAATTTTCTTTGGTCACCATGGTTATCACTATTCAAGTGGCTAACTATTGTTTTTACTCGCTTTCTGCAGGATAATTGGTCAAATGATGTATCCATTTGGGAACATTGTGCACACAACTACACAACCTGTCCAGATCGGTATATGCATAATACATTTCCTTTTCTCATTTGACTCTCTAGTTTTGTCTCATTGGTTGCTTAGTATTAAACTGGTTACACTGTTCATTGTTTGGTAGCCAATATTTTTATGTGCATATTGACAGATTTATATTCATTTCTTGTGCCTTGTCCTAACTCCGTACCTTGAAAACATTGAATTGATAAATTTGAAATAATTAGCTTAATCACTCTACCAATTGCTCGCTGTAACTTACCAAGTGGGATAAGGTTACCATTATTGTTGTATATTTAGATAGCTAGGGACTCCCATTGGTTTGCCATAACATGATATTAATAGTAACAGTAATACTTATTGCATACAACTTATATATACTGAAATTGCATATCGTGATTTGATTGGTTTCAATTCAGGTATGCTTCAGAAAGCATTAGTTTAGCATGCAAATTTGCCTACAGGAATGCTACACCAGGAAGCACTTTAGAAGGTATTTCCTATTTTCTCATGGAAAAATAAAATATTAGAACTCCATAATCTTCAGCTAGAGCTTTCCTCTTCCCCTTGTATTGTGGGTAGTGTTCTTTTTTTAGTCTCCTTTGTTTTCCTTAGCTAGAGCTTTCTTCTTTCCCTTGTATTGTGGGTAGTGTTCTTTTCTGATTCTCCTTGTTTTCTTTAACTTCAAGGGATTTTTCCTCGTTTGATATGAAAAAGGCGGAAGGGACTAATTTTCCCCTTCAAGCGAATCTATTTCTTTCTTTGTTTTTGTGTTGTGTTCTTTTCTACTTTGGGCAGATTATTAACCTATGGTCCTATTATATTGCATTCCATTTTCTTCTACAAAATCCTTCTTCTTTTTATCAAATATTAATAAAAATAAAATCTAAAGTGTCACATTTTTATCTGTGCCTGAGCATGACCGATGCAAAGCACCAATTATTCAACACTAAATGATTATCGACCGTGTACATTATTTTATTTGGTTTCATAATATCTGAAGGATGACCCTTTGTTCTTTATTATTCTATTCAATAATGTAGATGAGTACTTCTTTTCTCGGTTGCCTATTGTGGAAAAAAGACTGGCTCAAGCTGGAATACGACTTGCAGCTATCCTCAACCATATTTTTACATCTAGGACCAGAATTGCTCGAGCTTGAACACACATCTTTACGGGATCAGCATCCATGATAAATATAGCTGTTGTGTATGTACCAAAACAATTCACCTAAGGTGGTTGCTTTTTGCTCCACTTTATTCTTGTAGTAATGATATGCATGAATACACACCTAGTTTACCTGTAACTTATTTCTCTTTTTATCATGTCAGATTACTTATCAAATTTACTTTTTTTATCTCTTTTCGTTCTTTTATATCACTGTCTTGTTGGAGATCAAAACTTTTCACACATAATGTAAAGAAAAAGATCATTAAAAAGAAAAACTGAATTTTGTATATTCTTTGAAGTTTACACATGCGCAAATTTAAAGTTCTTACAAAGATTAAAACAGTTTTAGCCAATATACCAGAGCAAACTAAGTATCACGGTCTATTGGATTTAGATTTACTTCAATACTCCCCCCTAAATCCAAATTCTCGCAGGATACAACTCCTAATTCTCTCCTAAGTTTCACAAATCTGTCAGGTAATTACCTTAGTTAAGATGTCTCCCAATTAAACTTATGTTGAACAATAAGCCAGTTCAAGCTTACCATTATTCAGTTGTTCCCTTTGAAACTAAAATCTAGTCTCAATGTATTTGTTTCTCTCATGAGAAACTGAATTCTTAGACAGATTGGTAGCTGACTTATGTCAACTAACAGTTTAATAGGTTTATCCACTTCAGCTTCATAAGAGGATAGAACCAAAACAGGTTGTTTCTTGGAGCACAAAGATATTGGTATACCTAGAAACTAAAACAAGTAATCAGCGGTGGTCCTCCTATCATTTTAGTCCCCACACCATTAAGTCATAATACTCTAGCAAACTTGTTGTCTTCTCTTTTGTTTCCATAGGGAACAGAATAAGTGTTCCTTTGACTTATCTCTGAATTCTTTAGCAGCTGACAAGTGAGACTTCTTTGCATTACTCATGAATCTGCTGATCACCCCCAACAACAAAAGTCAGATCAAGTCTGCTATTGGACAGATAGCTCAATAAGCCAACTAGTTGTTTGTACATTGTTGGATCCACAGCTTCTTCAGCAACTTCAAATCTCAAATTCACCTCTGCTGGAATATGGACTGGATTACAAACTTCCATGTGAAATCTTTTCAATACTTCTTTCTCATACTTGATGGAGTATGATTCCTTTGGAGGTAGCAGCAAATTCCAAACTAAGGAAATGTCAAGTTTCCTAGATCTGTCATTTCAGATTCAGACTTTGTTTTTGTCTTAAATTGCTCAATTTTGCGGAGAATGATCCAGGTCACAAGAAGATCATACACAGTATCGCACTTACCTCCTATCTTTTCTTGACATACACTCCACATACAATTAAGTACTTGCAGAAGCAATGTTGCACCAAGAAGGAATCTATCCTTCTGATCATGCTTTAAGGACTTGTTTAAAACTATATAAGAACTTATTTAGTCTAAACACCATGTTTCCCATTCTTTTTCTTCTCAAATTCCAGCCGGAGGTTGGTCGCGTATACAACTTCATCAAGAGGTTTATTCAAGAATGCAAATTTGACATCAATTTACAACAATGTTCATCCAGGACTGCTGGCCAAAGCCAAGTCCATACATATATCTTTTTATGAGTTTTGAATTAAGAAATTAGTTTACAAATAATTTAAAACGAAAATTGATTTTTACAATACACAACATTAACTATAGTTTTAATCATTTTAAACACAATGATCCAACTTTTTTTTTGTATGGGAATGATCTAACTTTTTTGTTCCTTTATTTTCAAGTTTCTCAATCAAGTATATTTTATATCATTACTTGGATTAACAATTACATTATTACACATATTCATCCGAGTTTTTTTTTTCCTAATGTTTATTTTCTTGCATATGTAAGTTATTTTAACAAATAAATATCTATCTTTAATGCATAATATTAACTGTCATAAGATTAATACAATTTTTGTATAGGTTTGTCTAAATATCTGTTATGCCATAAACATAAAGATAACATGATAAGTTATATATATGTATATATATAAGTAAACTATAAAACATTTAAATGAATGAATTAAAAAGTAATAGTTAAAGTTTTAATAATAGTAGAATGAGAGAGAATAACATATCTTAACTTATCTTACTATTTTCATATTTAAGAAAATCTTTTTAATTGTGGATTAACAGTATATATATACTCCCCTAAAAATGATAATTTAAGTGTTTATAGAGTTTATTTTTAAACAAATTTTAAAAGAAAATTATATTTGAGCTGAGAATCATATGTGAGAAATTCTCGTACTTATACTATATATGGTTTTTCTTATGCATATTTTCATTTATTAAGAGAAAATAAATATTTTGACCATGAAAACAAACAACTGTCGACAGTATGGTGCTCATTTTTTCTTTCATCAAGTTGTTAATAAAAAAATTAATTGGTATACTATTGTTCTAAAAATTTTTTATTTACATTTTCTCACAGAAAAAAAATAAAATAAGATTAGAGTTTAAGTGGCTTTAAATGTTTGATTTCTAATTTTATTTTAAACTATAATTGTTTTTAATTATATGATTTGTTTTGCTGACAACATCAAATAGAACAAAAATGAATGTTACCATTTCCTTGTTCAAATAATGTAGTTTTTTATTTTTAAATCATAAGCTTTATAAAAAAAAATATCAGGTTAGATGATGACTTATAAATTATTTACATCCTTTGTAAAACTAAAATAAAACTGTAATAATAAACTTAAAAAAAGATTTAGGGTTGTAATGAGATTAAAACTTAAAATCTAAAATAACTGAAAATATATTCTAATATTTTGTTTTTTAAAATGAACTCAATTACTGTTTTTTTTTTTTACTTTTATTCACAAATGTTGTTATAATTTTTCAAGACCAAAATCAGTACATTATTTTGTTATCTAGAAGTGTTGGTTTGATAAATTTACTAGAATCTTATACAGTTTGAGATTCTGATAATATGGTTTATGATAAACAATATTTGAGATAAAATTATAATTGTTAACGTGATATATTAATTTTAATATTATATAGTTAAATTAAAAAGAATTCCATCAAAATTTTAATATAAATAAAAATATCTTCTATATTGTCTCAAATATAATTTAATATAAATTCATTTTAACCTATTTAATAAATCAATAAATGGTTTCATTAGGTAGACTTTTATTTTTAATTACTACTTTATTATTAATATAAAGTTACATAAAAAGGTGGTTTGTAAATAGCTATTTTTTAAATAAAATTGATGTAATTAAATGATATTAATTAACTTCATTAATTAATATGAATTAAGGTTATATGTATCAATATATTATACTTTGTTGTAATGTATCCATTTCTTCAATGGGCACTCACTTGACCCATCATTTTTATATTACTTTATCAATATTTTTTAACTACTTCTATAATATTTATTACCTATTTTTATAGTAAGTAAATGTTAAATATATATAGATATATTATTTAATATAATTTTATAATAATCTAGTCCCAAATATTACGAAAAGTTAGAGGAGATATAATATTATTCTTTTGACTTAAATTGTTTTAATTAATTTTATATTTATAATAAATAAATAAAAACATCTTAAAAATACAGGAAAAAAATTTAAAATTGTTAAGGAAATAATTAAATTATGGTTTATAAATAAATAAACAAGATTAAAATAGATTATTATTTTTGTGATATAAAATAACCTCTTACGAGAGAAAGAAAAAGTTAATAGTATTTTTTTCATAAAAGAAATTAGAGAGATATAATGTTGATGGAAAGAATTAAGTTATGTTTTATAATAAATATAGAAGATTGAAATACATTATAATTTTTGTGATATAAAATAACCTCTTAGGAGAAAGAAAAATTTAATAATTTGTTTTTTCATAAAAAAGTTAGACATATATAATATAATGTGGATGTAATTATAGATGATATTATATTAGAGCAAATTATGGAAAAAAAATGTGAGGAAATTTATTACAATTACAAAGGAATAATTTGAAATGAGTATTATTTTTTCTATGACTTCAAATAAAAAATGTTTTTTTTTTCCTAAGTTAATCAAAGTATTATTAGGAGATCTAAAAAAATTCAGACGGTGAGTTGCAAATAATCAACTACAATTGTATCAACCATTGTTATTTAAATAGTAAGAAAAAAAGTGTAAACTTTTTATTCTTTAAAATATATAAGTTTGATAGAATTCAATTTATTGGTAATGAGTAAATGTTATATTTTCATAAGTGTTTTATTATTTCTTATTGTTTCAATTCATTAAAATCACTTAATTTGTAATTTTTAGTGATTTTAATTTATTAAAAATTTAATCGATTAAAATGATACTGAGAAAAAAAATATTTTTAATAAATTAAAGGGAGAAATGTTTTTTTCATACTTCGTTCTCGTTATGCTTGTTATTCTAACTTCTTCAAACTGACAAAGAAAAAGAACGAAAAGCTTTTGCTCATGGGTAGAGATAAGGAAAGTTATTGAATCCTTTCAATCTCTTAACAACCCATCATTACCATTTCTTAAAGTTGGGATAAAAGTTTGCTTTGATAGAGATGAGATTAGAATTGAAAATTTCTACATTAAACAAGTAGAAAATTGGTGAATGTTTTTAATGTTATTTCTTTTAATTGGTTTCACTGACGAGTTACCACTAAAAATATTTTGAGTTGTCTATAAAAATGTATCTAAATTGGACTATTTGAAGGTGTTAAACACATGTAAAATTTAAGAGAGTCATCTTGAAATCTAAGTTCAATGGCTTAATCAATCTCTTGGTGGAAGAAGATTGATGACCTCAAATATGATAGAATTAAATTGGGGATAGAGAATATTCTTACATATGAATTTCATAAGGCAAAAGTGTATAAAAGTTGTAAAAAGATTCAAAGTAAAGGGTCAAAATGTTTAATGATGGAGGGATGAAGATGAAAGACAAAATTTTAGCTCATGAATACTCCTAAAATATAACATTATCCATATAACTAAATAATATAAACGTAAGACAGGGGAGAATAACAATATACACAAATTATTTTGATTTTTCCTTTAATAGAGAACTAAATTTAATTGTTTAGTCACACCAACTAGACAGTTTATTAACTTAAAAAAAATATACAAGAACTCTATTTTATAAACAAGAAATAATAATATACAATATTCTTAAATCCTATAAGATCACTAAGTCTCACATAACTAAAAAACAATCTAACCATATTAGTTAAACGAAACATTGATCTTGAACATTACAATCATGATCATAGAGTGATTGCATGAAACAATCAATCCTAGATATACAACCAAGAACACTAATCTTGACCATCTCAATCAAGAACTTTGCTTAATTATTAGTGACAGATCTTTATCATTGATTTTGAAGGATAAATAATATTTTATTAATAAATAATAAATGAATATGAAAGTATAAAAAATGATGAAAATATGAAAAGACAAAATTATAATATATACAAACAAATATATTTAATCATCATTCCCAGTTAGCCAATACACATAAAAATAAACATATTTACATATAATAATAATGTAAATCATAGTACATTAAAATTACACATAAATTATCATTAATTAAACATTTCTCACATATAAGTTTTCTTCCATTGGATGAACTCGAGAGAACAAGTTTCAACAAACTTTTCTTGATTTAAAACATGTAAAAAAATTTGGCAGATAATATTCATAAAATGTTTTATATCATTGTAAATTGAAAAAGTTTTTCAAGCCATTGTATTTAGAGAAAAATAGGTTTGAATATAATGACTTGTTAATACTTAATTGAATTAACTAATTTTTCAAAAAACTAATTTAACAAAATTTAAATCCATTTTATTTGAAAACTTCGTGTGTATGTTCCCCCTTAGATGATTCACGAGATAAAATATCTCTAGACGAGAAAATAATTTGATTTCTTAGACTGATAAATTCTAAGAAGGACATAGTGAAGAACTTGTATTGTTGGCAACATCAAACCAAATGCATGAAGACCAAACTCGATGAAGCGAGAGCATCATACCAATGAGACTTTCATATTAGTACATCAAAAAAAATTTACATTTATTATTTTAGGGTTTTTATGTCTGATTATACTTCGTCGTTAATGCAAGAGACGTAAATTTACGTTAAAATAACTAATTGACATAAATTTACGTTGAACTTGAACAATAGTCGACGTAAATTGGAGGTCTTATCCAAATTGGAAACCTTATCCAAACTGGAACCCAAAACAAGGCATTCGTTCCGACATGGACAATTTTCAAAAATATACCAAGTCAAGCTAAATCTTCTTCTATTATTTTTTTAGCTCATTCCCCAATCTTTCATACTGTTTAAGTAAGTGTACAACCCCATATGAGGATCACCTTCCCTTTTGCCCATTCCCTGTTCACACGGTTCTCAAAGTAGAGGAGGGAGCGTGGGCAGTAGATGACCATAAGCCCTCTATCCCACACATCATGTGAGTGTGTAATTATGCTTCGAAATAAAATAGATCAACCTAATTCCCTTTCTTTTCTAGCGCACTCATTTTATATTTCTGACACAGGAGGAATGACACAATGGGAAAGATACATCGAACCTGTGCACAAAAACCAGGCTCGGTTTCCTGGTTTAGAAAAAAATTCAAGTGTGAATCTAAGTTTCATATTGAGTAAGAATTATAAATTTGAACAACATATAAGGAAGAAAGACTCATAACCTAATGTCTTTAGATTTTATGTTGAAAATGGTGTAAATCTCTCCGAAAGATTCAATAGTAGTATCAGAGCCAATGATTTATATGGTGGGTCAGACAAACACATTTCATTATAATGAACGACAGTATAAAAATGGTTACTAGTGAGCTCAAGAAGGATGTACCAATGTGAAGTGACTCACATTTATGGAGAGATTGTTGGGAAATCTAAGTGAGTTTAAGTCTAACATTGAGTAAGAATGAGAAAATTGACTAATATAGAAAAAAAACTTATAACTTAATGACTTCAGGATTTTTTTGTTAAATATGGTGTTAAATCCTTATATGGATTGAACTTATGTCTCATTAGTATTGTCTCTCCCCAGTGAATCTCTCTAAAAAAATCCAACAAAGATCCCCTCCTCGAGGTTCATAACCATTGATTGGAGCCTGACAGAGGCAAACTAGTTGTGATTGAGCCAATCCTACAAAGCGGTGAAGCTAAAACATTTGGAAAGTTTTGACAACATGGAAAACATTGGTTGATGAATGAAATGAGAGGATGATAATGAAAGTTGTCAAGGGGAAGAGGAAGAAAGGAAGTAGGTAACAAACCATAACGTTGTATTAAGGTGTCTCACTAAAGGGGCTAAGGACATTTTTCTAGACAAGAAAGAAGGTAACCCCAATCAAACTTTAGTTTGAATTCAACAAAAAAGAAGAAACGACTTTGACATTAACAAGTTATATATTTTTTTCCCTCCGAGTCCCTCCCTGTCAAAAGTCTCAAGGAAGGAAAAAATGTACGATTTGATGGGGATAGAAAAGGAAACTTGTTACCATACTTTCACTTACATTAAAAATTTAAACAACTAATGAAAGAGGGAATGCACCTTTTTACATTAAAAGAATCTGCATATTCTTATATTGAAATTGCATTTTTTTTTTCAAAAAAATTATAGCATCTATTTACATTGGCCCCATATGATATAACGTACAAAAATTTATTTTAACTACAAAAATGTTAATACATTTTTTTTCTTCGAATAGTTATTAATTCGTCGAGAAAAAATTGACATAAAAATCACATTTTATGCTAGCAGCAGAAGTAGCTGATGTTTGATTAGTTGATAATGTGTCAATTAACGAGAAGTATTTGAAAACAATTTATCTAATAAGGTCGTCTATTGAATAAGTCACTTGATAAAAACATATAATGCTAGGAGCTCATATAATCTTGATAAAGTCGTCAAATAACGAAGTCATTTGATAAAAACAAGAATTGATTCTGAATAGTTCATTTAACTCTTGATAAGCCACTTGACTCTAGGAGCAATAGATTCTAGTTGCTCATCAAACCGTTAACTTTCAATAGTTCGTCCAATGAGCTCATCTAATGAGCTCATCTAATGATAATTTGACATATCATTTGATAACAAGGTAGCTCATATAATCTTTCTAATGACTTAACTCATAGGATCACATGATATGATATGGTCATATAATGCTTTAAGATGGAGCAATCATGATCTCTTGAGTGAAGGAAATATAGTACTTCTATATGACATCAAGAATTTGTTGAATATAAATAGATTTATGTTAAGTAAAAATAATTTTTATATTATCAATTTTCTTATGTTGTTTTTCTTTAAAAGGTTCTAGAGCATTTTAAAACAGATATTCAAGTTGACTCTTTTGAAATTAGGAGGAAATCAAATTAAATAAACAATGTAACTAAAAAAAATGAATTTGACAAGGTTCTTGATTAATGATTGGTGAATGATGGTGAACCTGCACAGGATGTTGTTATCAAACAAGAATGATAATATGGTTAATTTTGTGCTACTGTTTGTAAGGAAATCTTTATTTTCTTCATTTTAATACTTTATGATGATAAGTAAGAAATATGAGTTGCTTGTATCTTCTAAAAAAATTTATAAACAAGGTTAAATAATTAGATAAAAAAGAAATATAAGAAGAATGACATTTTATTTGTTTATTTGGATTTGACTGGGTTTTATCTTAACTTTTGTATTTGATTTTATTTTCTTTGTTGGTGTATTACTTTAAAATTGTGTTAATTTTTAACTTAATGTTTTGCATTTTCATTGTATTAAGTTTGAATCAATGCAAATTAATGCAAATTAATTTTTATTTATTTATCTTTTATCTTTTCATGAACTTTAATTATACTTGATAATGGCAAATGAGAGAAAGGTAATAGTATTTTTTATTTTTATTTTTTTTCATTTTAGGGATTACATCTTCAAGATCAAACCGATTGAATTTTATATAGAAGAACATTCCATGGGCTTAAAAACTTTGAATTTTTTTTAAGTATTGTTATTGTTTAAAGATTTGTACTATTAAATTTCAGTTGGTGTCAGGTCATACGAATAAAAAATGAACTAGGAATCTTTCAAAGTTAACAATTTCTTACTTAATATGTATGTAAAGAATTTTTTTGATAAAACAATGAGATCCATAAAGCTAATAATAAAAGAAAAATGTCTGTGATGTGTTTTATTTATTTCTTCTTTTTCTTTTTCGCAATTTTAACGTTAGGTTGCAAGCATGCTGATTTAGGTTAGTTTTATGCATAATTTATTAAAAGTTATTCTTCAATATATATATATATATATATATATATATATATATATATATATATATATATATATATATATATATATTATACATTCAAAACATATTCATCCTCTACATTCTATACTTGCAACCAACATTGACCCTACAGGGGACGGGGTGTAGTACTAGTTTTAATTTAAAAACAATGCACTGAACCAATGAAGAAACTACTTCTAAAACTTAAATATCGTGTGTGTACGTAATTTAAGCAAATTAAACTTCTATGCAAATAGATGTTGCAAGATATGTAAATTACATTGAAAAGAAGAATCTTTTTCATCTCCTTCAATCTAAGAATATTAATTACCCGTTGGTTTTCAATATAATCCACTGTTCTATTTTCTAACAATAACACAAATCAATATAAAACTAACATTTATCTTAATTTTAGAAAATAAAATTCTCTTCATGTGAGAATTAATGGCGAGTAGCTAAATTGTGAAGCTGGATCATGTGACATTATTGGCGAGATGCTAAATTGTGCAGCTGTATCAGATTACAGTGTATGTAAGTGACAACTGTAAGCACAAAACATGGGTCTAAAAATATCAGCTTCATTACACGCGATTTGCCCAGAAGATTAGGATACTATGTCCTTCTGGCTTAGGGTATCTTAAAGCTTTTTGTGCTTTTAGTTCTCTATGTATAAGGGTGCTCCTCCACCTTTGCTACGAGTGCGCATTTTGTGGAAAATGGGGTTAGTGACACTCTTTGTTGGGTTCTTTTTGCTTTCTTGTGTCGTGTGCGGGAAGGGTGTGGAGCCAAAAGCCTCACCCACTTGCACATTTCCTGCAATCTACAACTTTGGGGACTCCAACTCGGATACCGGAGGCATATCTGCCTCATTTGTGCCAATTCCTGCACCTTATGGCGAGGGCTTCTTTCATAAGCCTTCAGGAAGGGACTGTGATGGCCGTCTCATCATAGATTTCATAGGTAAAAAGGAACTTTGAAACACCCTTACCTCTTTCTCTTATGTTTTTTTCCTACTTTGCATTTGAACAACTTTGGGCACTACGATTTTCTTTAGTTGTGTGTTATGTGTGTGTACAAAGTGTTTTGGTTTTAACTCAACTCTGTTACTTTACTGTGCAGCTGAGAAGCTAAACTTGCCATACTTAAGTGCTTATCTGAATTCCCTTGGAACCAATTACCGGCATGGGGCAAATTTTGCCACAGGGGGATCCACCATTAGGAGGCAGAATGAAACCATATTTCAATATGGGATAAGTCCTTTCTCACTTGATATTCAGATTGTGCAATTTAACCAGTTCAAAGCACGCACCAAACAACTCTACGAAGAAGGTAATTGTGCCTAGAAAGCAGTTTTAGTTCAGCAAACTGAAACCTTGTTATGTTAATCCGTGGTTGTTCATTTGTTTTTGTTGGAAATTTAGCCAAAACCCCAATTGAGAGGAGCAAGCTTCCAGTGCCAGAGGAGTTCTCTAAGGCTCTCTACACTTTTGACATTGGTCAAAATGATCTCTCAGTTGGCTTTAGAAAGATGAATTTTGACCAAATACGTGAATCCATGCCAGATATTGTCAACCAGTTAGCCAATGCAGTCAAAGTAAGTAGCAACCTGGTTCACTGCAAAGTTGCAATAGGTGACTGCTAAAGAACTAGTAATTGAGTATATTACAACACTGAATAAATTATGGATAACATTTTCATTCTTAATTAATCACAATGACCTTGTGTTCTGATCATTTTTGCATGTGGCATACAGGTACTCAAATAGAAATATATTCAAATTGAGTCTTGTTGGAAAAAAGGTCTAAAATAAATGTAATTAATAAACTGTTTGCAGAATATATACCAGCAAGGAGGGAGGTCATTCTGGATACACAACACTAGCCCCTTTGGCTGCATGCCGGTACAACTATTTTACAAGCACAATATACCACCTGGCTATCTTGACCAGTATGGATGTGTGAAGGATCAAAATGAGATGGCTACTGAATTCAACAAGCAGCTGAAAGACCGAATCATCAAACTGAGGACAGAACTCCCACAGGCTGCAATTACTTATGTAGATGTCTATGCTGCAAAGTATGCACTAATCAGTAATACCAAAAGTGAAGGTAATGTCTTCATTATTGATAAGATTTAGTTAATCCCTGGTGCCTTTCACCTAAAACTAATCTCAAGATTTCATATGCTTTTAAGATAGATGTTTGCCAAAATAAACAAATATTCTCATTAGTTATTGATAATTATACCCTTTTCAAGACACTCATTTAGTCCTAGCCAAAAGAATGAATTTGTTTAAAGGTTAATAATACTCTCTAGAAAAGTTAGCTGTTTTGGAGAATGTAATGAGAACAGAACATTGGCAATGATTTTTCTAGTGCCTAATAACTTTAGGCAAAGCTGTTTAACATGCACATCAACTGTTTTTAATTTTCAGGATTTGTGGATCCAATGAAGATCTGTTGTGGGTATCATGTGAATGACACACATATTTGGTGTGGGAATTTAGGGAGTGCAAATGGGAAAGACGTGTTTGGTTCTGCTTGTGAAAACCCTTCACAGTATGTAAGCTGGGACAGTGTTCATTATGCAGAGGCTGCTAACCATTGGGTTGCTAATCATATACTCAATGGCTCTTTCACAGACCCACCAACACCTATCACTCAAGCATGTAACACCCATTAAGCACAATCAGAGTCATTTCTGATTGGACATTCTTAAGAAAAAACTATATAAAAAATTGCAATATTGCTAAGACTTTATTCCTGTACTAGACTATTGAGAACCGCATACTTGGTGTTCCTTGAATGTTTCAATACACAACATTCAGGAGATAGGCAAATTCATTAGCCTATTAGTGTTTTTCCAAACATTGTTTGCAACCATCAACTTGCAATTTGACAACGCATTCTTGGCTTAATTCTGCAAGCATTTCGTTTCTCAACATGTGCATGTTCTCGAAATTTTATATTATACATCAATAAAATAAATTCATAATTTATTACCTTCTTTGAATCCAACATGGATCACCAGGTACATAGTGTATTTGAACATGAGTACAGACTTCAGATATATACTATGTTTAAAGATGAGTAGAGGTTCTAAAGAAATGAGTAATCGGGATATGGGTTTCTTCTAATAATCATATCACTGACATTTATCTAAATTCAATCCTATCTTCTAAATTCAATACTATTTTTTTATTTAATTAAGAAGGCTATTTCTTCTGAAGTTCCCTTTTGTTGGTGGTATCAATCTGTTTTTATGGCAATGATGTGATGCAACCTATAAAATAATAATATGTAAAATGAGTATAAATTTAAAAGGAACTTTTATCTCTGTTGTAAGTCTACCTAATGGTCCCAAATTTAAATGCATAAATAAACTTCCATTAACATAAATCTTACCAAAGATAATACCATTAGGGTATTAAAAACTTTAAATATTATTAAAATGACATTAATAAGGACAAACCAATAAGATAAGTACAATATTAACATTATATATATATATATATATATATATATATATATATATATATCAATAAAATTACTGGACTCATCACAGATATCGGATAGCACAATATCAATTTGAAACATTAAAATAGATCAATAAAACAAATTGTGATTAAATGAATATAAAGGGTCCATTTAGAAGGGTTGCATAAACTTGTCACACTTTAAGTCAATTCATAGTACTAAGTAATGGTAATATTTAATTAAATTAGAAATGGAAACAAACAAATATGTTACTTATAAATAATCAATATGAAATGGATAAGGAATTCAATTTTTTTTTTTTACTTACTTAGGAATTTTATCACCAAAAATATTGGGATTATTGGAGATAGATATTGAGTTTTTAAAATAAAATTATAAATATTGAATCATATTTGATTATCATCTTTATAGTTATCAAATATTCTAATTGTTAGCATATAATTACACATACATTATCAGTTACTTTATTTTATAAATTGATTATACATTATTTATTTATTTTATTATTATAAAATAAATTTACATTTTAGTTTATATTTTTAAATTGATATAAAAGTCATTTAGCACAAATTATCACCTTCAAGTACAACTAGGATGGTTGATCATAGTTGATATTTATTCATACTCATAATAAGATGAACCACTTGAAAAATCAAATATGAAAATGTTATGTAGAAAATTAAAAAGTAAAAAAATAATCATTGACATCGATGACTCTAGAAATTATAGAGTGTTTTTTGCACTTGTCCTTTGTACTTATACTCGAAGTGTTTCACCAGCGAGAGAAAGCTCCTATTATATTAACAAGTATAAGATGAAGAATAAACAACAACATGTGATTTTTCGTGAAGACAAATATAATTGGTGTAAGTGTACCTTTCAATAATAAAAAAAACTCTAAAATATGAGATTATAAAATAAACTAGTATTTAATAAAAATAATATTGAGATACTGTATACATATCTTAACGATGAAGTTACCAATTTTTTTATAAAATAATTACTTAATCATCAAATTAGCATTCTTAAATTTATATATAAAACCAAAAACTTTAATATAATTAAATAATCTTGAATAAATTATAATTTATATAGTAGTTTCAAAAATAAGTTAAATATTTTTAAATTAGTTATATATTGGAGTTATTCTTAATTATTTAAAAAAATATTAAATAAGTTAAGATGAAAGGTTTTCATGAAGATATATAAACTCTTGAAAAAAAATGAAATTTAAATCTTAGTTAATCTCCAGTTATGAGAAGAAGTCCGCTAGATTTTAATATATTTACTTTGTTGTACACAAAACAAACAACAAAATAATATATTTTTAAAATAAGACCTATTGTATGTAGTAAAAGAATAGACTTAGACCCACTGGTTACATGGTATAGTTAAATTAATATTGTTTGAGTGTTGTTACCTTTGATAATAAATATGGACTAACTCTTGTAACAATTTGATATTAAAAAAAAAATAACAAACGGAAATTGGAGAGAGCAATCTCCATGAACCAATAAATGAAACATTTAACCATTTTTATAATCACAAATAAAATTTAAATTAAATGTAACTTTAATATCAAATATTAAATATACAAATTTTGGAAAAAGAAGATTACATTTTAAGTCAACCCTTTAATAGGGGTTAGAAATAGAAGTATTCCGTTTCAACATATTACTACTACTAATAATAATAATCTCAACGAACATTAAATAATATAATTTTATATGAATTATATCTTGACATCAAATTAATATTAGTTTTAGAAAAAAAAATTGATGTCATTTATAAATAATCAAACAAACTGACCTCTTGAGTGGATATGATATCAAATTGCTTACTTCTATTCTCTTGTCAAAGTTTGTAAAAACTGAAAAAAATCACTAAAGAAGTAAACTATAATCATAAATTTTAAAACGATTTTGTTTTGTAATAAAATCGAAACTTAATTGAAAGCCACCGAAAAATACTTTATTGGAAATAAACTCATTTATTAAATTACATTAATACTTTATCTTTGAAAATAAACTCATTTATTCAAAATTTATCTCGTATTTATTATTTCAGAAAATTTCTAGATCCATGATAAGGATAATCTAAAATATTTTTTAAAATTATCAATTTTTGTGTTCTGATGTAAAATGTTAAAAATGTTCTTGAGGTCAATCTTTTCCGCAGTCACACTTTAGTATCAACACTTACATCTTGGTACTAATACTTGCACCTTTATTTAAGCAATATTTTTACTTTAAAATTAGAAATCTATTGATAATTTATACTTTGAATCATATAAAAATATATTTAATTTATATTTGTGGTATTTAGAATTGTTGAATTTGGAATATACGAGGGTGAAAAAAAAATTATGGAAGTGAAAAAAATAGGGAAATGAAAAAAAAAAAAAGTTTCCGTAATAACAGGAGCTTCTGGAGGATAGAGCGGTGCAAATCACATTTAGCTTGACACGGAACCTCTATGACCATCATTATTAACCGTTGATCAAAGTTCAACATTGCATCCCCACCATTTGTTCCACCTTCTTTGACCAGATTCTTTCCTTCCTGCGCTACCTGTCTCGTTGGAACGGTCAAAGATGGATGGCCTGAAGTCTCTTATCTGTCCTCCACTTTCTGCATACAAAGGCCATTTTCTAGGGATACAATCGTCTTTGTACTAAGATACGGTACCGTTTTGAGCAGCTCTTAGGAACGAGAATCTACCGGAAAAACGTGTTTCTTCCCTTCCAAGAACGTGGGCACTGATCCGTCATTTTATTTTATTTTTTTATATCAATATTTTTCGTTACTCTTGTAATGTCCGCTTACCTAATTTTATAGTAAATAAATACAAAATATTTTTCTATGTTTTGAAATAATAAATTAGATTAAGTATATTTCTAATTTGTAAAAATTATAAGTTTTGATTTTAATTATTATAAAATATTTATTTATTTTTCGTCTTTATAAATTTGTAATCATTCTTTTTAATTTTTATCAAATATGTGGATTTTTATTTTATTTTATTTTATATTTTCATCTCTAATATTGATTTAAGATAAGTAAATAATATTTATTTTATGAATCTTAAAAAGTTTTTTTTTAAGATGACATGTGTCAATATTACACTATAGTATTAGTATTTTTGTTTTGAAATATATATATATATTAACATAGATGTTGTTCATCTATTCATATAATATTAAGATCAAAATTGGTAATTTTAAATTTTTGAGGGACTAAAGATGAAGAATTTTTTTACAGGGAATAAAGCAGAACTCACTTATTATACAGAAAATTTTTAAATATGTTTAAGCTTTTTAAATGTATTTATTATTTTATTTAATTATAAGAAACTACTACAAGATTTAGTAGAGATATAATATTATTATTTGTAAGTAAATTGTCTTAATAAATCTGTAGTTATATAAAATAGAAACCATGCATATTTTAAATTAGTTTGAAGTATATTTTTTTAAGATATTAATTATTATTTTTGAGTAATTTGTGAGGAAATAATAAAATAGAAGAAAGGAGCAAATCTAGTTGAACAAAGACCTGAAGTATTGTTAAAGTTTGAACGAGTACATATAAATAGGACATGTTAATTGTATTTTCGTAGAAGCATTACTCGTATAACAGTGGCATTAACCTTACAACTTCAGCATAAGAATTTGACATCCAATGATGCAAGGTTTCTTGAATCTGGTCGCCAGCATTTTCATAACCAAACCAAAGGTTACCTTTCTTTCACTCGATGGATCATTAATGTTGTTTATTTGATTTTCTCTTATTTACATATGCTCCTCTTATATCTAGGAGCCTTGTTGAGTTTCTTCAAGATCTGTATAGTAAAAATGTTTATATTTGTTTAGTATAGCTGATTATTGAAATAAGCTGATCTGTCTGTCTGTTCAGTTTGTTTTATTTCTTTGGTTATGCTTTTCTTGTGACTTTGAGCATTTATTTATGTTTATGTGTTTGTGAAAATGCTTCTTAGTGGATTGTCACCTTGACAAATCAAATTGATGATCTTTTTTCTATGCCTTTCGTTTTAATTATAAGCAGATTTTTCATCATACCTCTCAATTTATGTTCTTTATTTTCAATTCAATGTCATTAACTGATTTAAAATCTCATGAAAAGAGCTTCGATAAATTCTTTCAATCTTTGTCAACCACCATCTTCATGCTTTACAAGAGTTTTGTTAAAAAGTGGTGGACAGTTAACTTAAAAGAGTGAGAAATCATGGTTGTCTGGCTTATGATGAATCCCTCACAGCAATTTGGTAACTAGGATAATTTTCTGTACACATTGTGTTTGATCGCATAAGCAAAACTTAAATCTTGACTTATTTAAGTGTCCATCATATTCCATATGTTTGTCATATTCATTATGCCTGATACTTTCGTGAAATTACTGTAAAATCAGGTATAATTGGGAGTTTTAAACTTTATGGGAACTCTTTGTAACTGTCGAAGGCTGATGAGCAAAGCTATATTAACCCTTGTTTTGTCGTCCCATTTTCTTGGAATTAATGGTTGCCAACTTGTCAAGAACTTTAAATTTCTTTGCAACCCTCAAACTCTCTCTGGTCTCTGCTTGTGCTCTGACTCACCTGATTTGAAAACCGTGTTGTATAGATAATATTATTTCTTGTAGAACATTTCAATCTTCTCCTTGGTGTTGTTCAAACTTGAAAGAACTAAAATCTCTTAACTTTGATCTTGTCAGACATCTTATAAACTGTAAAGGATTGTTCTCTTACAATGGCATTGGCAAGGATTGCTAGGGCCAACCTGAGAAAATCAAGAGGTTCCTTTGGTAGTTATGCGAGTGAGAATGATTTATTCAATGTGGGAGGATACACAAGCAGATGCGACAGACCTTCCAATGTAACTTTCTATTCGGATGGGAAGTTTTCATATGTTCCTGCAATTAAGGAACGGAACTGCGTGAACTTTTCATTGAGGGGAATATCAGGAACTCCATACCATCAGTGTTCTTCTGCTAATGCTCAGACGGTTATTGAGGAGTCAGAGTCAGAATTGGAGAATGATCAGCCAAGATATGCAGGACTAGAGGCAACAAAGCCAGGTGAAAAGCCTAGGGTGGTTGTTCTTGGTACGGGTTGGGCCGCGTGTCGGTTCCTCAAAGGGGTAGACACCAAAATTTATGACGTTGTGTGCATATCACCAAGAAATCACATGGTTTTTACTCCTTTGCTGGCTTCAACATGTGTTGGAACCCTGGAATTCAGAAGTGTTGCTGAGCCTGTCACCAGAATACAAGATGCATTAGCAAAGGACCCCAACTCCTACTTCTTTCTAGCTTCTTGCACTGACATCGACACAGGCAAACATGAAGTGAGTAGAATGATATACAACCTTTTCCCTTGGGTTTGTGTGTTTTACGTTTTCTGCACATTCATAAAGTCATGGAATGCTCAAATGTGAGATATATAAAGTTTTTTTTGTACAAAGCTTTTATAAAAATTCTGATGTGCATTCAGAAATTTGTCTAGTGAAATGTCTACTCATTTTTATTGCATGCAAACAGGTCTATTGTGAGGCAGTTGACAATGGTGGATTGCCTCGAGAGCCTTACCAATTTAAAGTCGCGTATGACAAGCTTGTCATTGCAGCAGGAGCTGAGCCTTTAACTTTTGGTATCAAGGGAGTAGAGGAAAACGCTTTTTTCCTGCGTGAAGTGAACCATGCTCAAGAAATAAGGAAGAAACTTCTCCTTAATCTGATGCTTTCCGAAAATCCAGGTAGGTATTTCATATCCATCATAGTTTATTTCGAGGTATTCCTATCCTATGTAGTTATGTCATTTTGACAGAAAATAAAAAATAAAAAATTCATAGTGCAACACTTGTCTGTGTCAGTCACATATTCTGCCCTGAGCTATCTTTCTTTCCCCTTCAACTCACCTTTATCAGCATGAGCTTTATTTTCTAGTATTATTCTTCAGCAAGAGCCAGTTAAAGTTGCTATAAAGCATTTCTATTTTTAATTTATTCACTTTGTATTAATAATTATGGACTAGTCATTTTTCTACCGAAGAGCTAAGAACGTTTTCGTGTAACAGGCATATCGGAAGATGAAAAGAAACGCCTTCTACACTGTGTAGTTATTGGAGGTGGCCCTACAGGAGTGGAATTTAGTGGTGAATTGAGTGATTTCATCAGGACGGATGTTCATGAGCGCTATACTCATGTCAAAGATTACATTCACGTTACACTAATTGAGGTACCTGGCTGAATTTACTTTTATGCATTTCACCCTGTTTTGTGAGTAGGATTAAAATTTATTGTACCTAATCATAATGTTGACTTTTTTTATGAATAGGCAAATGAGATACTGTCATCCTTTGATGTTAGCCTACGGCTATATGCAACAAAGCACTTAACAAAGGTAAACCTTTTGAGTTTTGATCTATATTTTAATCTGTCTAGATTAACCACTAGTTTCATGGTTTCAACCTTCAAGTTTAAGTCTAAGACATTCAATGTTTCATCAGTCTGGGGTCCATCTTAAGCGAGGTGTAGTGAAGGAAGTGCATACCAAAAAGATAGTTTTGAGTGATGGAACAGAAGTTCCTTATGGTCTCTTGGTCTGGTCCACAGGAGTTGGGCCTTCTAAGTTTGTGAAAACATTAAATCTTCCTAAATCTCCAGGTGGAAGGTACGTGCAGTCCAAAAAAAAAAAAAAAAAAAAAACATTGGTACTCATTTATAATATGTGAACTCCGTTTTATTCTCTTTGATTGATACAGAATTGGTGTAGATGAATGGTTGCGTGTGCCCTCTGTGGAAGATGTCTTTTCCCTTGGTGATTGTGCTGGTTTTCTTGAACAAACTGGAAGGCCTGTGCTTCCAGCTCTAGCTCAGGTTAGCCTTTATCTATTTTGTTTTGCGAAATGATGTATGTGGATAAAATGGCCAAGTAGATGCCGATCTATGATGTCCTTATATCTATTAAGAAAAATCTGGGAGAGCGTACTTGCCGGTTGAAGTTGACTTTATTTATGTTTAAGCATGGAATTTTACAAACCCACTTCCTGATGACCCTTATGGTCTTCTAAGGAGGCATAATGAAGAATGTTTGTTGCTATGCACTATCTATGTGTAGAGTTCATGTGAACTGTCATTGTTCTCATTGCTGAAATAAAAGAAGATAGTTTTCCTCTGAATCTAGGCTTTGTCATTCCCTGCACTGCATCTGGCAAGGCTCATGAATCAGTAATGACATTGTGCACATGAAAATAGTAGTTACAATCAACAAGGCTTTGTAATCATATCTCCATAGAAGTATGATATTCCATTCTATGCTGAAAAAGCAAACATCAATGGCTGTTTATGTGCTATGTACTTACCAATGCAATGATTAATTACAGGTTGCTGAAAGGGAGGGTAAGTTTCTTGTGGAGTTGTTCAACAAAATTGGGAAGCATAATGGAGGCAAGGCTTTCTCTGCAAAAGACAAGCCACTTGGAGAGCCTTTTGTGTATAAGCATCTTGGGAGCATGGCATCAGTAGGTGGCTACAAAGCACTGGTTGATCTACGACAGTCGAAGGTACAATATAGGAATTGTTTCTAATTCTATCTTAAATCTTTACCAGCGTCAAGAGTGCAATTATATAAGGAAAGAAGAGATAAAAAAAACACTAAGCAAAGTCAAAAAATAGTTTCTGATTTTGTTCTACATACACGTTTTGTAGGATGCAAAAGGGTTGTCACTTGCTGGTTTTATTAGCTGGATGGTATGGCGCTCTGCATATCTTACACGTGTCCTTAGCTGGAGGAACAGACTTTACGTGGCAGTAAACTGGGCAACCACATTAGTCTTTGGCAGAGACAATAGTAGGATAGAGTGAATTTCATTGTATGCAAAATCAGTTAATTTCTTTTGCCTTGTTACAAATATTTGTGATGTGGAGTTCATTTTTTTTTAATTTTTTTTACTTTTTTATTATACTCAAATATTAAAATAGTAGAAAACAGTATTTTTTTTAATTTTTAACATTATAAAATCATATCATATATATTTTGTATTATTTATATACTATTTAATTTTTACTATTATTATAATTGGTTGAACTTCAAATGAATTTAAATTTTTTAATTAATATTGTCATCGATTAAATACTTTTATCAATTTTAAAAGCCTTGATGGTTTAAAATAAGGGTATACGAAAGATTTGGCCTTCTCTATATATTTTTTATATAAAAGAATTATTAAAATTTAAAGAGTTAAATTTGTATGATAAAAAACCGTATCTAAAAGAAAAAAGAAAAATAATTAAGATTTGATTTTAACTGTTTTTAAAATAATTTTCACTTTTTCAGTTTTAAAAATTAAAATATAAAATCAATCATCAAACATATTAGATTAATTAATGAATATTAGATCAATTAATTAATGAATGTGTTATGATTTAATAATTAGATGGATTAGCTAATAATAATTATTAGACAGATTAGCAAATAAATCGATGAGACGTTATCCAATTGATATTCTAATAAGATGAGTTGATTATCCTATATTTATTAGTTGATCTAGTGTTGACAAGTTTATATATATATATATATATATATATATATATATATATATATATATATATATATATATAATATTAATTATAAAAAATTATATATTAATTAATATGATATAGAAGAATATATTTGTAATAACTTAAATTTAAAATACTATTATGAAATAAAAATATATTATATATTGTAATAAAATTAATTTAAAAATGTGTCTTAGTACATAAAATGAGAAAAGGAAAAAAAAATCAAGAAAAGAATTTGAGTGAGTGTAGACTCTAAATCTTGCCCGACCTCATAATAAAGACTAGAAGACTTCCTTTTCGAAGATGGATGAAGCCTAAGAAGTCACTAGGAGATACTATTAGGCCACATACTAGGATAGGAGGGATTTTTAGCACAAAAATAAGGATTTTCGCCTTTTAAGGTCGAGACCGCCGTCCCAGATTCGGGACCACCGTCTCGCCTTACGCAAATGGTGAGACCGCCGTCTCGTTTGGCGAGACGGCCGTCTCGCCATTCCTGCAAGGCGAGACCGCCGTCTCGCCATTCCTGCAAGGCGAGACCGCCGTCTCGACCTTGTCAGACGAGACGGCCCGTCTCGACCTGACAGGCGCGAATCCCTATAAATAGGGCCCTCATTCCCCTCATTCCAGAGAGTTCTTCCTCCTTCTCTCTAGAAATCTCTCCAAATTCTCTCTCTAAAATCCCTCCAAAGCATTTCCGGAGTTTTTGAGCGTTTCTAAGAGTGTTTTTGAGCGTTTCGAGAGGTTTCCGACGCTGTGTAGAGTGAAGGGCTGCCACAAAGCACCCTATTTTCAAAAAGAATTAATAGAAAGCTTGCTTCGAAGGTTTCTAATCCCTCTCTCTCTACTTTACCGCTTTATTTAAATTACGCGATAGACATTAGGGCAATGTAGTCATAATTTAAATTCCGCAAAATAAAAGGGTAAAAGCGTATTTTCAACGGTTTAATCATTTTTTAAATAGCTGGCCTATCATAGGGAACCCGAAAGGGGCGTCGTAAAGGAACTAACACTTCCTTTACGCGTAACTAACTCCCTTACCCAACTCTGGTTATAATGACCAAAGTTGGTTTTTCGAAAACCAACGCCTTTTAACCCCTTTTCCGATGTTTCCGGCAAAAACATCGATGACGACTCTAGAGAACCCTTCAAAACTAGCTCTTGGATTAGCCCGATTATCGGACAATCCAAGAGTGCCCTTTCGAAAACCTCACCTCTAGGTTCAGCCCGGTTATCGGACAACCTAAAGGCGTTGTAACCACACCAATAAAAATGCGAAAAACGGAAAGTCGAAACCATCGCGTCGCTCCGACCGCCTCGTTTTGACGACGGCAACAGATGGCGACTCCGCTGGGGAAGTCCAGAGAGTTGATCCCATTTAGTGATGGGCCAGCTAAAAAAATAAATAAACCAAGAAAATTATGTTTTTACCCTACCTTGTATTATAACATGTTTTAATGCTTGGCTTTAATAACCGTTGTTTGTTTATATTTACGCAATTGTTTGAAATACAAAATGTACACAAACCCTTGCACACAACAATTCCCTCTATACCCGGGGGCAAGTGAGAAATCCATAGGGAGTGGGTGACAGGTACGGTTCGTTGTAGTGATGGTCTTGTGCCCACCAGTGTGATCAGAAACCACCACTCAAGGTGATAACCTTCCTCTTTTGGCACAAAGACTGACTATGGCCTTAGTGCTAAGCATGGTCGGAAGGCTGGAGAGTGGGGACCCTATAATGGGGGCACCTTGGGGGCCTTAGCCTTGGTGAGAACAGTTAGAACCTACCTTCGCCAATGCACTTTTCTGCAGGAAAATCCTACCTCGTGATTAAAACGACTTCTCGCCTGCTCGTGGATGATCAAATTGTGTGTGCATATGTTTGTTGCATTTGTCTGTTGCATAGCATAATCAAACAACAAAAAAATCACAAAAAATATTTTTGCAATAAACGCCCTTATCTCGGACAGTCTGCCTTTTAGCTAGCCTGGTTTCAGGTTCTTTGTAAGCTAAGTAGCCACGCAGTACCGACAGAAGAGATAAGGGACGCTAAATTTTTTTCGCATAAAGCCATTTTTTATCTCGGACAGTCTGCCTTTTAGCTAGCCTGGTTTCAGGTTCTTTGTAAGCTAAGTAGTCACGCAGTTCCGACAGAAGAGATAAAAGACTATAAAATGATAAAAATCTAAAATAAACAAAATAATAACAAAATCAAAACGTCTATAAAAATAATTTTGACAAAGTCGTATCATCCATATTACATCATCTCATGAGTAAAGAAATACCAAGAGAGAAAATAAGAAATGAGAGCGCATTTAACATCATCTAAACAAAACCTCTCATACATAAACACATCCATGCTAGTTCAACACTCAACATGCATTAATAATATTCTTTCGGACATTCTAGAAAGTGGCTGGTCCTCTCCCCATCCGGACTCGCGAACAAAAGGCCAAAGCAATGGAGAACCTAGAAGAGCAAAACCAAAAGCTCACTACAGAAGTTAACACCCTCCGCGAGCAGATGGCTCAACTAATGGAGGTCGTGCGTCAGGGGCAAAATAAGGGCGAAGCCCAAACAGAGCATGCCTCTCGCCACGAAGAGGAAGAAGAAGAAGAGTACTTCTACGATGGAAAGGATGCTAAGACTGTATGTATCCTCACCCCTGAGGTTTCTAAACAGCAGATATCCGCCCTAGAAGAAAGGTTGAAGGCGGTAGAAGGACACAATTTTGACGTCAAGGAGGTGGCGGATATGTGCCTGGTGAAGAATATCCATTTTCCTCCCAAATTCAAAATCTCGGACTTCCCCAAGTATGCCGGGATGACCTGCCCAAAGAGCCATCTTACGATGTATTGTCGTAAGATGGCCGCACACGCTGAAAACGAGAAACTCCTGATCCACTATTTTCAAGAGAGCTTGACAGACACAACTCTCAATTGGTATATGTAGTTGAAAAGAGGGCAGATCCAGAATTGGAAGCAGTTGGCTGACGCTTTTCTTCGTCGATATCGATACAACATTGATCTGACCCCTGACAGGTCAGATCTCAGGACTCTGAACAAAAGGGACGACGAACCCTTCAAAGCGTACGCCCAAAGATGGAGAGAAATTGCCACCCAAATAGAGCCTCCACTAACTGATAAGGAGACAATGGCCATGTTCATAGATTCATGGACTGGAGCGTACTACAATAAGGCAATAGCCAGTACCTCCAATCTTTTTTCGGATATAGTCACTGTGGGAGAAAGAGTGGAGCAGGGGCTGAGGAACGGGAAAATAGCACGACATTCTTCTTCCAGTACCTCATTCAAGAAACCTTTCAAAAAGAAGGAGGAGGTCGTACATGCCATCAATTTTACAACCTTTCCCTCCTCTCCTCAGATGGAGAGGCAGTCACGAAGAAAGGAGAGGAAGTTCACCCCTATCCCCACCTCGTACGCAAAGCTGCTGCCCCAGTTATTACAGGCCAACCTTCTAGCCCGCGTTCCTCCAAAGAAAATGGAGCCTCCCTACCCCGAGTGGTACAAGCCCAACGAAAAATGTAGCTACCACTCGGATGCACCTGGGCATTCAACAGACAACTGTTTGACCTTAAAATATAAGGTCCAAGAGCTAATTGATGTCGGTTGGATAACCTTTGATGCCTCTGCTTCTGATGTTGACACCAAACCTCTGGCTAAACCAGAGTAGCAGAGAGGGAGGACTGGGAGGATCAGCCCCTAGGGTTTTTCTTTTTTAAGCTTTTTCGCATATCTCCTGCGGTCCCCGCCCGCGGCCGCAGGAATCCTGATTAAAAGGGCTTGTACATACGTTTTTTTTAATACACGAGGCATTCTTTTCATAATCATGTTCGTTCTTTTCCCTCTTTGTTTATTATTCTTTCAAAGATAATTGAATAATAAAATATATGATTATAACAGAACCCAAAACACATCATGTTTGTGATTGATGAATCTCTGTGGACCCCGGAAATTGAAAGCGAATGGGTCGAGTCCGACAGTGAGCAGGAGACCATTTCTACGGACATGCAAAGAATGCTGGAAAAAGAAGCGCGCATTATACAGCCGCATCAAGAAAAGACGGAAACCGTCAATTTAGGGGAAGGGGATGATGAGAAAAGGGTAATCATCGGCACCCAAATGGAAAGTAGTATGAAAGAGGGGTTGATACGGCTTCTAAAGGAATATATAGATGTATTCGCTTGGTCTTATCATGACATGCTTGGGCTTGACACGAGTATAGTGGAGCATAGATTGCCATTGAAGGAAGGGTCCCGACCCGTAAAGCAAAAACTCA